AGCAGTGCATAAACAAAGCTTATATTTTAAAATATATTTTTTAATATATTTATTGAAAATAATTTTATCTCTATTAGTCAGGATTCTTGGTTCTAACAGAACCAACAGAAAACCAACTTTGGTTAAGTTAGGCAGAAGCAATGAATTTATGGGAAGGAGACAATAAATTAACAAGTGAGTAGGAAGCTGCAGAAAAGGTCAAGATAAAAACGAACTTTTTTTATGCCACAAAAAGAAGCATCAAGAAAAAGAGTGATACATTTGATTGTGTGTAGATTTTTTTAAATTAATTTTTATTTTTGGCTGTGCTAGGTCTTCTCTGCTGTGGGTGGCCTTTCTCTAGTTGCAACGAGCAGGGGCTGCTCTCTAGTTTTGTTGTGTGGGCTTCTCATTGCAGTGGCTTCTCTGTTGCAGAGCAGAGGCTCTAGGGTGTGCAGGCTTCAGTAGTTGTGGCTCATGGGGTCAGCAGCTGTGGCCCCCGGGCTCTGGCGCCCCGGCTCTGCTGCTCCACAGCATGCGGGATTTTCCCAGATCAAGGATCGAACCCTTGTCTCCCGTGCTGACAGGCGGATTCTCAACCAATGAGTCACCAGGGAAGCCCTGTAACGTTTTAACTTTTTAAAAAAGGCGGTACTTAGGTATTTACTAAATGAGAATAACGTGGTGCACTGGGCCTGTGCGGTCTGGCTCCCTCACCTCCGCTAAGCTTTTTCTGACATCATGTTCCTCCTCCCTCTCAGAGTTTCACCGAGACCTGCTCCTCAGTGCCACAGGACAGATGGTTCCTCTGTCCAGAATCTCAGCCCTCTTTTCCCTCACCTAATTTACACTCTGAATTTCTGTGAGAAAACCACTTCCTCAAGAATGCTTTCTCAAGGCATCTGACCTAGGTTGAGCTCCAGTCCTTCAGAAAGCTTACCTAAGAAATTAATTACATATACTCAGTGTGATTATTTTATTGTTTAGTAACTAAGTCACGTCCGACTCTTTTTTGACCCCATGGGCTGTAACCCGCCAGGCTTCTCTGTCCATGGGATTTTCCAGGCAAGAATACTGGAGTGGGTTGCATTTGCTTCTCCAGGGGATCTTCCTGACCCAGAGATCAAACCCAAGTTTCCTGCATGGCAGAAGGATCCTTTACTGCTGAGGTACCAGGGAAGCTGGATTATTTTATTAACTCTGTGAAAAAGGGCCAGTGTCATGCTTGCTCCTCATTGGGTCTAAATACCTCACTTCATGTCTAGCACAGAGCAGCCATTCAAGAGCTATTTGTTGGAAGCATCAAAGATTGCGGGTTTGAAAAATCTGATTGAGTACTTTCCAAAAACAATTGTTATCTTGAGGCCACAAACCTAGCACACTCTGAACCATCGTCACTTCCTTCTGTAACAGCAGATTCCTCCAAGGGCCCCTCCGCTTGGCTTCTTAAGCTTCAAAACCACCCTAGAGCATTCCTGATTATTCATGCATCCTATCTAGCCAGTCTATTCACCTGTAGACTCTTTGTTCCCACACCCACCTGCCTGATCCTCTGTGCCAGCTGCTCAACCTTTCCCAGGGTACCTCTATCCCCAGCCATTTCTACCTAGCTTCCAGAGCTACCAAATGCAAATTTAATCATGTCTGTCACTCAACACAGTTGTTAATATTGCTTCAGCATCTGGTTTACCTGGAGAGTAACCAATGAAGCTGGTTTACTGGGACTAAATGCTTCCTGGGATACCAGCCTTTCAGCGTTTCAACTGGAAAAGTCCCAGGCAAACTAGGACAAGTTGGTCACCCTACTCCCCCACTAGGCTCTAGTTTCCATGAGGGCAGGGATCTTTTGGGGCTTGTTCACTGTCACAGTCCCAATGCCTGGCAGAGTAAGGCATAAAATCAAGTTGTTTTTAGCAGAGATACAAAGTGAACATACTCACCTTCGGAAGTATCCCCTCACACCGATCAGAATGACCATCATCAAAAAACCTACAAATAATGAATGGTGGAGAGAGTGTGGGGAAAAGGGAACCCTCTTGCACTGTTGGTGGGAATGTAAATTGATAGAGCCATTATGAAGAACAGCATGGAGATTCTTTTATAAACTAGGAATAAAACCACCATATGACCCAACAATCTCACTGCTGGGCATATACCTTGAGAAAACCATAAGTGAAAAAAACACGTGTCCCAGTGTTCACTGCAGCACTGTTCACAGTAGCCAGGATATGGAAGCAATCTACGTGTTCATCGACAGATGAATGGATAAAAAAGTTTTGGTACACATACACAATAGAATATTACTCAGCCATGAAAAGGAACACATTTGAGTCAGTTCTAGTGAGGTGGATGAACCTAAAGTATGTTATACAAAGTGAAGTTAAGTCAGAAAGAGAAAAACCACCATCATATATTAACACATATATACGGCATCTAGAAAAATGGTACTGATGAAACTATCTGCAGGGCAGGAATAGAGATGCAGACATAAAGAAGAGACTTTGGACAGCAGGGGAAGGAGAGGGTGGGATGAATTGAGAGAATAGCATTAAAACATACACATTACCATATATAAAACAGGTAGAGCTAATGGGAAAAGTTGCAGGGAGCTCAAAGCGGCACTCTGTGACAACCTAAAGTGGGGTGGGGGAGAGGTTCAAGGAGGGGACCTATGTGTACTTATGGCTGCCTGATTCATGCTGCTGTATGGCAGAAGCCAACACAATCGTGTAAAGCAATTATTCTCCAATTAAAAATAAGTTTTTAAAAAATACTCACCTTTGTTGGTCTAGCAGCTCACATAGGGTCTAGCACCAAGTGGGCATCCAGGTACTGTTTTTCCAGATAGGAAACTGTTTACCTGACTTCTGTTTACCTGACTCCTAAACTGTTTACCCAAACTGCCTTACGCAATCAGCTTGACCTGACATCAAGACCACGGCTCTAATGTCTCTGAAAGGAAACAGCACTCTGGGATAGGTTGCGGGGCTTTAGGCAACCACATTACATGTAAATCCCTATTCTAGATTAGGTCGTTGTTTCTGGCTATGCACACTGATCCCACAGGACCGACTTACACATCTATTTATTTATTTACTTGGGCTTCCCTGATGGCTCAAGTAGTAAAGAATCTGTCTGCAATACAGGAGACATAACAGACATGGATTCAATCCCTGGATCAGGGAGATCCCCTTGAGAAGAAAATGGCAACACACTCCAGTATTCTTGTCTGGGAAATCCCATGGACAAAAGAGCCTGGCAGGCTACATATGCCTCCATAAGGTCGCAAAGAATTGGACATGACTGAGCACACGTGTGCATTTATTTACTTACTTATTTTGACCAAGTTGCGTAGCATGCAGGATATTAGTTCCCTGCCTAGAGAAGATTGAACCTTGAACCTGTGTCCCCTGCAGTGGAAGTGCAGAGTGAGTCTTAACCACTGGACCTTAAGGGAGGGGCTGCCATGGGACCTCTGTAACATCCCCTTTGACACACAGGTGGAGCAAGTTGTGGCTGAAAGGGACTGCTTTGGGGTACCACACAGGTCAAGTCTGCACCCCGCCACTTGGGCAGGTCACTTCTCTGAACCTCTTCTTCTCATCTGTAGACTTCCCTGGTGGTCCAGTGTCTAAGACTCCATGCTCCTAATGCAGGGGACCCCGGGTTGGATGCCTGGTCAGGGATCTAAATCCCACATGCCACAATTAAGAGTTCACATGCTGCAACTAAAACATCCCACATGCCTCAACGAAGATCAAAGATATTCCACAACCAAGATCCGATATGGCCAAATGCATAAAGGTTTTCAAAAAAGAACTCAGGCTTGCCCTTCTTAGCTCATAGCACCACTGAGGATCAAATAATATGTAGAAATACATTGCTAGAAGACTATCTAGATGTGTTTATAATTTCTAGTTTTCCCCATCCACTTAATGCAACCAATATTTTTTTTTTTGGCCTCACCACATGACTTGTAGACTCTTAGTTCCTATACCAGGGATGGAGGCTGGGCCCCAGCAGTGAAAGACGTGAGTCCTTAACCACTGGACTGCCAGGGAATTCCCAGATTTTCTAGTTCCATAAAAATCTTAGGACAAGGACCAGAGAAGTGGGCAACTAAAGACAACAACTAAGACAGCCTTTAGGTGGATTGAGTGAAGCCAGAGATGGGAGGTAGGATGTTTTCACTGGCAAGGAAAGAATAAAATGTTCCCTCGCTAAGCTGTTTGGAAGAACCTGTGGAATCCGCAACAGTTGAGACCATTCTTTTCTCCACTCCCTAGCATGAAGAGAGTTGACCGGCAGAAGAAAAGATCCAGGCCACATAATTCACACAGGCTGTTCAGAAGGAGCCAAACTATCGAGCCCTTTGCCTTTTGAATACTCAGGCACCTAAATAAAACAAAAGCCTCGGTCTGTGTTACTGAAGTGCATAAATAGGACCTGATGGACTTTCACTGTATTTGGAAGGCATGCTGGGGATAGTTGTTATTGTTTAGTTGCTCAATTGCGACCCCATGGACAGTAGCCTGCCAGGCTCCTCTGTCCACGGAATTTTCCAGGCAAGAATACTGAAGTGGGTTGCCATTTCCTTCTCCAGGGGATCTTCCCGACCCAGGGATGGGACCCACTTCCCCTGCATGGCAGGCGGCTTCTTTACCACAGAGCCATCCGAGAAGCCCATGTTGGGGATCTTCTGTCTTAATATAAACTGTGAAAATGTAATAATATATACTGTGAAAATATAAACTGCGCATGTGTGCAATTAATCTCGGGGAGCCCTAGGAGAGGTGTCAAGGAGTTGGGTCATTGTCTTCAAAGCAGTTGAAAGTGATACACAAAGTGAGCCCTGTGTGGCTTGCTCGTGGGGAGAAAGATGCCCTACATATCAAAATTCAGCGGAGCCGAGATAACAAACTGGTTTCAAATCCAAGCCTTAAATCAAAAGACTTGAGTGCGTGTCAGGAGAAGAGTCCTTTCTGTCCCCATAGGTTTGAGATCTCTGGCTGAGAGCCCGGTTGGAAGACACTAGTTAGTTTGTTCTTTATTTTCATCTGAAAGTTACAGGGCTACTTATCAACAAAATGACTGTCCGAGCAGCGAAATCCAGTGGTTTCTATGTACAGGCCCATCCCTGGGGTCCTCACCTCTGGAGGGGCCTCCGCCCCCAAGGCCTCAGTGGGCTTCTTCCCAGGCCTCTAGGAAATAGTCACAAAGACGCAGGGGATGAAAACCAGCCTGTCCTCAGCACCTGCTTTCATCCCACAGGGAGGTGGTGGCTGCTGGTGGGGGACCCAGGCCTAGTCTTGGGGTAGCGGGTGTGGGGGCCTCTCTCTGGGGAGCCCATCCTTCCCGCGCCCACCTCCTGGGCAGGCTCTCGTTGGACATTCCTGGGACTGCTCTGGTAGGTTCATGAGTTCCCACTCTAGCCTTCTTTTCTTTCACGTCGTGATTGGAACACCGCAGTGTCCCAGGCTCCCATTCTGGAGACCACAATTTGTGCTGTGGAGCCTCTTCATTTGTCCCTGTTTTTTTTCTTTTGTACAGAAACAACAATACTCTGGATCGGACCTTTTTTTTCTTTTCCACTCAGGAAACAGAAGCGGCTCAACAGGTACAGTTCTGCTGGTCAATCTGCTTCCGGCAGGGTTCCATGGTGACGGCCACGCCCACCCCACTTCGGCCAGAGGTCATTCGGGTCACCTCGCTCCAGGTGTCCGTGTCAGGGTCATAGCACTCCACGCTGTCCAAGAATGTGTGACCGTCGTAGCCCCCTGCAGGGAGGGCAGGAGGGATGGTCGGTCACTACTCCTAGGGGGTGGGGGTTGGGGGGGTAGGAAGGAAGGAAGCATGTGAAGCCCTCCTACTAAAAGGGGCTAGGTGGGCTTCTCCGCCCAGGCCTCACCAAGAACGTAGATCCTTCCCTGGTGTACGGTGATGCCCAGGGCGCTTCGCCGATGCTTCATGGGGGCTACGAACGTCCACGTTTCTGTCTCCACGTCATAGCGCTCCACACTGTTGAGCTGGTCCTGACCATCGTAGCCCCCCGCAGCATAGATACAGTTGTGCAGGACGCAGACTCCTAAACCAGACAACACAGAGAAGGTGACTCCAGGGCCTGGCCTTGGGGGCCCCAGCCATCACCTTCTTGGGGGGGACACCCTCCCCTCTCCCTTCCTCCCCTCTCCTGAGCGACCCTGCAGAAACAAAGCCAAGAGCAAGCAGCAGGCGCTCTATGAGTTTCACGCCCAGGGTGGGGTGGGTGCTCCTCCTGGCTCCCCTCCCCATGGCCCCCTCCCACCTGCTCCGCTCCGGATGGTGTTCATGGGTGTGATCATCCGCCACTCGTTTCTCTCTGGGTAGTAACACTCGGCTGAGTTAAGGCGGTTTGTCCCGTCGAAGCCCCCGACAGCGTAGAGCAGACGGTTGAGGACAGCCACTCCCACCCCGATCCTTCGTGTCAGCATTGGGGCCACCAAGTGCCACTCGTCCCCCTCCGGCTCATACCTGCCACAGAGAGCAGCGATGACAACAGCAGCCCCAGCCACCCCGAGACACTGGCCCCCACTGATATTCCCCTGTGTTGGTCTTTTTAATTTTAAAAATAATTTTATTTGGCTACGCTGGGCCTTCCTGGCTACACAGGCTTTTCTCTAGCTGTGGAGCCTGGGCTCTAGAGCAGGCAGGCTTTAGTAGTTTCGGCTCCAGGGCTCCTAGAGTGCTGGCTGAATAGTTGTGGTGCACGGGCTTACAGTTGCTCTGAGGTATGTTGGATCTTCTTGGACCAGGGATAGAACCCATGTCTCCTGCACTGGCAGGTGGATTCTTTACCGCTGCACCACCTGCGAAGTCCCTCACCTGAACTCTTCAATTCTCACAAGGATACCCTACAATGCAAGTTATCAGTAGGTCCATTTTCTAGATGAGGAAACTGAGGTTCACGGCCGGCCCCCCTCTGCTCAAGGTCACTTGCACCTCTGCTGGACTCAAACGGCCCCATCAGACCACTGCCTAAGCTAAGTGTTGTATGAATGCAGGAGACACAGGGGACACCAGTTCAATTCCTGGCTTGGGAAGATCCCCTGGAGGAGGAAATGGCAACCCACTCCAGTATTCTCGCCTAGAAAATCCCACGGACAGAGAGGCCTGGCAGGCTATATAGTCCATGGGGTCGCAGAGCAGACACAACTGCGTGTGCACGCACGCACGCACACACACGGTCACCCGCACAGTTGTTCTGCACACAGACTGCGTGCTGCGCAAGGCGCCACATTAAGGGGGCGCCTTTCACGGTAACAGACCTCGTATGTGTTTCTTACAACCATGTGGATAGATGACAGGGAGGTGTCATGTTTTAACAAAATTAGCATATTAACATTCCGACAGTTTCAAACTGATGGAGCTTTTTCCAAATCTGCTAATAAGTCGTTGTATGGGTGTGTGATGGCACTGTAAACAGTACCCAGGCCAAGACACATCATCCAGGGTCCTGACCATACATCTCCCAGGAGTTTAGCTTCACCTTGAGGCTTCCACTCCCGGAAGGGAAGGCACAGAGAAAAGCACTCCACAGTGGAAGGAAGACTTCCCTGGAGGTGCAGTGGATAAGAATCCACCTACCAAGGCAGGGGCCATGGGTTCGATCCCTGTGTCTTCTATCAAGAAGACTCCTGTGCCATGGAGCAACTAAGCCTGCGCCACAAGTACTGAGCCCACTTGCTGGTGGACTCAGAGCTTAAGCTTCACAACAAGAGAAGCCACTGTGATAAGAAGCCTGTGAGCCACAACACAAAGTAGCCCCGGCTCACAGCAACTAGAGGAAGCCTGTGTGCAGCGATGAAGACCCAGCACAGACAAAAATAAACAAACGAAGATTTTAAAACCCGAGGTCCCAAAAGCATGGGGCATGTTAGCAGCGGAACCCCCAGATCCCACGCCTCCTGCCCCCGCCACTCACCTCTCCACACTGTTGTGGTGGATACAGCCGTGGGAGCCGCCAACAGCATAGATGTGCCCGTCGATGACGCCCACCCCGATTCGGTTGCGGGGTACGCTCATGGAGGCGCAGGGCGACCACTGGTTGGTCATGGGGTTGTAGCAGTCCAGGGCGCTGGAGTCGGTGTTACCGTCAGGCGAGTTGTTGCGGCCGCCCACGGCGTACAGCAGCCCGCCCACCACACAGCCCGCCAGGCCGCTCCGGGGCACCTGCAGATCCGCCAGCCGGAGCCAGGTGCCATCGCTGGGGTTGTAGGCCTCCAGGTAGCTGAGCGACTGGCGGAAGTAGCCGCCGGCCGTGTAGATGAGGCGGCCCACCTTGGGCGCCCGGCAGGGCATCACCTGCGTGGGCTTGTGCAGGGTGAGCTCCTGGAAGATCTTGACCAGGTAGTCCTTGCAGCGGGAGTCCGACTGCAGGATCTCACACTTCTGCAGCTGCATCTGCAGGAAGTGGGGCGTGAGCGAGTGGCAGCGCACAGCCCGCAGCAGCGCCTGCACGTAGAAGCGCCGCTGCTCGCAGTCATATTTGACCCAGTTGATGCAGGCGTGAAAGACCTCGGACTCGCAACGCACATTCAGGTCATCCCGGCTGATGAGGGTCGCCAGCTGGCAGTGGGATAGGTTGAAGAACTCCTCTTGCTTGGCCACCTGCAGAGGGCGACAGCATCATGGGCTGACTTACAGGTCTCTCTCCACTCCCACCCCCCCAGGCCCTCGCCAAGCCCTTGCTAGGACCTCGGACAAGACACTCAATCTGCCTCTGCTAATCTCAGCTGCCTCAGGTGTGAAATAAGGCATTAGAGGGACTTCCCTGGTGGTCCAGTGATTAAGAATCCACCTGCCAGTGCAGGGGACATAGGTTTGATCCCTAGACTGGGAAGAAACCACATGCCTTGGGGCAACTAAGTCCGTGTGCCATCATCTTGAGCTCTTGCTCTAGAGCCCGTGCTCCACGACAAGTGAAGCCACTGCACTGAGGAGCCTGCTCAGCGCAATCAGAGAAGAGGCCCTGCTCACTGCAACTAGAGAAAGCCTGTGAGCAGCCACGAAGACCCAGCACAGCCATAAATAAAGAAGGGAAACAGGCATTTGCATAGTATGAAACTCTCAGTGTGTGAGGATTCAATGAGTTAACACTACATGCCAGGCATAGGGCAGGTAAGTACATAAATGGGAAAAAGAAACAACATACCTCTTAGGTTTTGTATCATTTTGTATATGAACTGTAAGAATGTTACCCTTTTCTTTTTTTAATGAAATTATTTTTTTCAAAAGAGCAGACTGACTACAAAGGAAATAGCAACAGAATATGTTAGAAAGACAAAAAAGTTCAGGCTTGAAGAAAGCAGCCTGAGTTGCAGTGTTGGCCCACGACCTTCTAATTGTGCCACCTTGGGCAAAAACCTGAAACACTCTGTGCTTTGGTTTTCTTCCTCTATAAAAGGGGGATTACATTAGTTGCTAACTCATTAGCAGGGTTATTGCTAAGGGAAATATTTCTTGTCTGGCACTGGTCTATATAAATAATTTCAGTCACCCCACATCAGTGGGTTCCCAGCTTCCTGTTACCCCAAGGCAAGGCAACCCAATACTGGTTTTGTGCAGTCAGTGGGACAACCCTGCTCTTGGGCCACCATCCTAGAAGCCATAAGTCCTAAGACTAATGTCAGAGCTTCTTGGGGCATCTGGTCAATCCCCAAGATGGTAGAGAAGGAGAGTCATGGAGACCAGGGATAGTGTCCACCTAGCTGGTCCCGGCCACGAGAGGATGATTTTGAAAATTTCCAGGAAGGGGGAGTTCCCTGGTGGTCCAGTGGTTGGGACTCAGCACTTTCATTGCCAGGGCCAGGGTTCAATCTCTGGTCAGGGAACTAAGATCCTGCAAGCTGTGTGGTGTGGTAAAAAAAAAAAATTCCAGGAAGGCACTGCAAAGCATACCTCCTCCTAGGATAGCTGGGAAGACTCAGAGATTTAAAGGCTGGAAATCACTTAGAACAGAGGCTGGCCCACACCAAGTGCTCAACAAGCACTCATTTTCTCTACTCACAACTTCCTCCACTTAAAAATGAAAATGAAACAAAGATTAGTATGAGCACAATACTTTGTGGACTAAAGAAAACATGTGTAAGGGTCACACTGGCAGTTGACAGCATGTCACGGGTGTTCAATAAATATGTACTGACTGCCTGGAACATCAGGCCCTGCTCAGGGCACCCTAGGGTGGAACTGCTGTCACAGTTACTGCCCTCTGTCCCCACCTTTGACCCCAGGGAGCCCAGAGACCCATGAAGGTCTCACTTTCTTCGGTTGTTTCCCAGATTTGTGGCAGATATGTAGACTGGGAGCTCAACCCTATTTTTCTCCATCTCCTTGCCTTGACCCTTCACCTCTCAAGGGGAGACAGTGATGACCACCTGTCTGTTCCCTGGTCCTCCCAAGACTGCTCTGAAGCCCTGGTGCCCTGTCCCCGTCCCTCACTCACCTCCCCGAAGTGCATGTAGATGTATTCCCGGGCACGCTGGTGCAGCTCTGTACAGCCAATCTGCTCGGCAAAGTTGGCGATGCCGATGGCGTTGCTGGGATCCAGCTGCTGCACCAGGAAGTCGCTGCAGGCGCGGACCACGCTGTCGATCTGGTACATGACAGCACCGTTCATGACATGGAGCACGCACTTCTCCCCCATGGAAATGGACGCGGTGTAGGCGAACTCAATGAGCCGCTCCATGACCTTTGGGTGGATGCCCTCAATGGACACCACCTCCATGCCCTGCTCCCGCAGCCCGTTGGTGAACATGGCCTTGAAGACGGGGCTAGACGAGGCCAGCACCACCTTGTGGGCCATGAACTGGGCGGCGGGCGCGTCCTGGTACTTGACCTGCAGCGTCACGTCGCATAGCTGCTGGCTGAGCCGCAGTTCGTTCATGATGCCAAAGGCCTGCTTGGTGTGGTCCTCCAGGGTGTAGCTGAAGGTGCGGTTGCCATGCTGGGAGGGCGTCACCTCGGCCTTGCACTCGGTGGAGGCGTACATCACCGTGTCCCCTGCCCCCTCGGGGCGCTGTGGTCTCAGGGGCAGGAATTGGGTATGGGCCCCGGGCCCGCTAGGCCTGGGTTCCGGCTGCATGGGGTTCCAGGTGACAAGGGACACCACCACTGGCACTCAGGGGCCTGGAGGGGGAGAGCACAGGGCTGGGGGCTAGGCCTTCTTTTCTAAGATAAAGTGGCTCCTAGACCAGTTTTCCTTTCCAGGCCCGGGTAAAGCAGTGTTCATTTGTGCTCCCTAACTGCCCATGGCCTCACCAGTCCAAGGGCCCACCTTAAATCGTAGGTCACATGGTGACCCTCCCCTGCTCAGAATCCCACCCCCCCACACACACTCCCTGCGACATGAAGAGTAAAACCAAACTCTTCAACGGCCTGCAAAGCCCTTCACAGTCAGCTCCTGTCCACCTGTTCCCTTTGCCCATTCTGTTCCAGCTCTCTGGGGCCCATCCCTTCTCACAGCGTGTCCAACTCATTCCTTCACTCACCCCATCAACATTTCTCGGGCATGTGCTGTGTTCTAGGCACCAGGGACACAGCAAGGAGCCAGACAGACATGCACCGAGCCCCCCTGAAGCCAACACTGGGGAGGAAAGGACTATAAGTGAAATAAGCAAGGCTTTAGGGCCATGAAGAAACTGACAACAGCATTGTGACAGTGTGGTGTGCCGGTGTTGTTTTAAAATCAGGTGGTCCAGGCCTGTCTTGGAGCTGAGACTAGAAGGATGAATTTATGAAGGGGCGGGGGGGGGGGGGTGGGGAGGGGTGTTAGCTTTCCAGGCAGAGGGAACAGTGAGTCCAAAGACTCAGAGGCAGAATGAGAGCCGACCTGGAGAATCAGGGAAGAGTGTGATGAGAGAGAAAGACTAATGAAGGGAGGGTGTCTGTGAATCCTGTCGAGTCTGGAGGGTTAGGGCAGGAGCTGGGTTTGGAAAAGTCAAGCAAAGAGGAGACAGGGGATCTACAAGAGGTTCTTCATCTTATTGTTCCCTGGGCTCCACTCAGAGTTACCTCCTCTCTGTTTTATTTCCATCACACCACTTGTCAGGAATGGAAATCAGCTCCTTTGCTTGCTTGCTGATGGATGAAGGGTCTCTCTGGCCCTGAGCCCCGGGATTCAGAGGGCAGGGAGCCCTGTGTAGGTCAGGGTCCTGCCCACCCTCTCCTGTGCCTCTCCTGCAGCCCGCCTGGGGCCTGGCACGACGCAGGGGTCAGTAAGCTGTGGCTGGCTGACTGCCCACCCCACTGTGCCTGCCAGAGCACCCTGCTCTTCCACCGTGCCCTGGACACCGCTTGGCCGCCTCTCCCCAGCCGAGGCCCGGGCCTGCCTCTTGGTCTTTAGCCAAACGGTCAACGGTGCCCCCTGGGCACTGGACACTCCCCCCCACCCCCAAGAAGCGGTAAGTGGGGGACTGCGCATGTCCCGCCGGCGCAGCCCAGGCCTAGAGAAGGGAGGAAGTGACCCCGCCGCGGCCTTTCCATCGCAAGCCCCGGGGCGCAGACCAAAGTCCCCCCGCCACAAACGCCCCGGAATCCCCGGGCTTCCGTCCGAGCGACGCTTCCTGGGCCTCTCGCACCCGGAATCACCCGCCGGTCGCGCCGTCCAACAAAAGGTCCGGACTCGAGCCGCGCCCTCCTGGCGCTCCGCGGAGCCGCGGGAAACCCCGAGGCGACCGGGCCCCGCATCGCCCAGTGCTCCGGCCGCCGGACACGGTCGCAGAGCACTCTAGACCCTCGGTGCCCTCAGCCCGGGCGCGGGCCGCTTCACTCACCCCGCCATGGCCGCGCTCGGGCTCCGCCTCCGTCGCCCAGGCCCGGGCGCCTCCATCGCAGCTCGCAGGGGGGAGGCGCGGAGCGCGCGCAGGTCACCATGACTAAGCAGAGCCGGGAGCCGGCCGTGTCAGAATAAAAGTCCCCGCGGGCCCGGGCCTCGGGCGGCGAAGGCAGCGGGCCGCTCCCCCACCCCCTTCCCCGCCCACGTTCGCTGTTGCCCAGTTGCGCAGCCCCACAGCGGCGTCCGCAGCGCCGGTAATCGCGGCGGGGCCAAGGACCCAGCCCTGGGCGCACCCAGCCCGCGTGGTCGGAGCCGCCTAGAATCAAAGCCCCGGGTTCGAGGCCCAGCGCTTCCCTGCATCCTGGATCACCGGATACCCCTCCCCGCCGCCGCCTGCGCGTTCACCTGCGTAGGCTCCGATACTCTCACCGCGGGGTGGGGATGCCTGGGGGCGCAGCGGTGGCTCCGGGCACGGTGGTGCCACCCGCGCACCGAGCTTCCGGGAAGCCCGAGGGGCCGTGGCCTGGCCCGGGGGCGGCTCCCGCCCGCCTTTCGTTGTTGAAGACCCGAGAGCCCTTCCACCGTCCGGGGCGGCGGGGGAGGGGGTTGTGGCTGGGCGGCGGGGCCTGCGGGGTCGCGGCCGTCGAGTTGGGGGTTAGCCTCGGGACGCCCGAGAAGGAGGCGGGGAGAGGGCGGAGAAGGCGCGGCGGGGAAGGAGTCGGGATTCCCCGCCCTTCCCTCAGGTGCCCGGCGCCCATGGGCGAGGAGTAGGGCGGCGGGCAAGGGCGCACGGCTAAGCGCACCAGGCCCGTCCCCCAACCCTTTCGCAGTCCCTTCCATCCGCCGGGTTTCGTCGTCTCAGCGCGGGTCTAGTTTCCACGACCTGCTCTTCTTTTAACTCCACACAGTGCAGGCCTCACGTTCAGGTGGCCGAAGGATCCAGGCAGAGCTGTCTACCTACCTACTGGGGTTTTTAGTGTTTTTATTTTTTATCTCCAATCTGGAGGCGCGAGGAGCTCGCAGTTGGGAATTCGAACTCCGGCTCTGCCGCTCTCTAGCTCTGCGCAGGTGGACCCATAATTTAACCACTGCATGCTTCAGTTTCCTTCCTCGTAAAATGTTCATAGGGCTTGCGTGGTGGCTCAGTGGTAAAGAGTGCTTCTGCAGTGCAGGGGACACAGGATCGATCCTTGGGTCAGAAAGATCCCCTAGAGAAAGAAATCGCAACCCACCCCAGTATTTTTGCCTGGGAAATCCCATGGACAGAGGAGTCTGGTGGGCTACAGTCCATGGAGTCTCAAAAGGTTGGACACCACGTAGTAATAGATGTTAGCAATAAAGGCACCTACCTGGTAGATTATTGGGAGAACTAATTGAGAATGCTAGCGCTCAGTAAATATGAAGGATTGTTATTTTTCATGGAAAGTGATACTGATTTTCCGTTTATGCTCTTTGTTATATAGTTAACTTTTAAATGTATGTGGGGTGGTTTTTTTTTTTTTTTTCTTTTTTAAGAGTCCGTCTGTATGAGACGGTAGACTGAACAGATACTGGTCTAAGGAAGGATTCCACCTGCCCTCCGGAGTGAATTTGGAAGCTTCTGCCTCCCTGCGCTGGGTCTGGGATTAATCCCACGCCGGAGAAGGCTGGGGTGGGGTTCCTTGCTTCTCCTCCCAAACCAGTGGCGGTGGTGAAGCTGTGGTTCTCAGTGGCTCCAGAGGTGGCGTCATAGCATAACCGCCAAATACTGTACTGAGGAGTGGCTGATGCGGTGAGCAAACCCACACCCTTCTCCACATGCCAAAGGAAACCTCTGGTATATCTCAGAATTAACATCTACAAGCCCTGAGACCCAGCAGTGACATGTGCAGTAATTTATCCAAGGTACCCTTGCACACGTTTAGGAGGATGTATGTACACAGATGTTTACTGCAACACTGTGTTTAAATGCCAAGTGTTGGACTCAACACTTGTGTGCATCCCTACGGCCCTGGTGTAATCTATGCTATGAAATACTGTGCAGCCAGTAAAAAGAACCTGTTAGCTGTGTGAATGTTTTACCTCAATATTTTTAAATGTGAAAAAAAATGCTCTGTAAAGCAATTATCCTTCAATTAAAAAATAAAGTGACATAAAAAATGTTATGGTCTGTGCCCCCTCCCCACCATCATATATTGTAGCCCTAACATAAGATGATGATATTTGGGCTTCCAAGGTGGCACAGTGGTAAAGAATCTGCCTACCAATGCAGGAGACTAGGGTTTCATCCCTGGGTCAGGAAGATCTCCTGAAGGAAGAAATGGCAACCCACTCCAGCATTCTTCCTGGGAAAATCCCATGGACAGAGGAGCCTGGCAGGCTACAGTCCATGGGGTCACAGAGTCAGACACAACTGAGTGACTGAGCCCACATATAAAAATAAGTGATGTTATTTGGAGATGGGGGCTTGGGGAGGTAATTAGATTTAGAGGATGTCATGAGAGTGGGGCCTTCATGACGGCATAAGTGCGTTTATCAGAAGAAACACCAGAGAACTTGATCTCTTTCTCCACCATGTGAGGACACAGCCAGAAGGTAGCTGTCTATAAGCTAGGAAGAGATTTCTCACCGGAATCTTACCATGCTGACACCTTGATCTTGGACTTGCAGCCTTCAGAACTATGAGAAATAAATTTTGGTTGTTTAAGGCACCTAGGCTGGTCCAATTAACAGTACAAAATCTAGATATGCAACAATTTCCAAGATGATACTATTAAATGATCAAAGCAAGGTGGAAAGCAATGCTAAAGTTGTGTAAAAAGAGAGAAGATGTATTTACATTTCAGCTCATTTACCTACAGAATGGCTCTGCAAGTTTGCCGAGGGTATATATCCAGGAGTGGGAACTGGTGCTTTTTGAATCTTGTAAAATGTGAACAAGTAAATAACTCTTCTGCTATCACACCATCATCAAACCACTGAGCAATGAGGTGGGGTGGCTCAGGTTGCCCTGGAAGATTACAGGAGCCGGGGGTTACTGGAACCAAACCAGATAGGAAATTAGAATCAGTTCTCAAAGTGAACTGGCATGTGACCCCAGGCTAGAGTGTTTGTGTTTGAGGAAATAGGTTGGTTTTCCCAGTGCTTACAGCATCCAGGGGCAGTATGAACGTGGCCCACAGGAACTCAGGTCCCCTGGCTGGTCAGTGCCCCCGCACCCCCACCCCTGCACACCGCGTACTTTTCAGCTGTCTGCAGATCCCCTGTGTCCCAGCAAGTGGTGTGCCACAATCTGAACCCGAAGCCACAAGCCCTTTCCCCAAACCCACCCTGCCCCCTCTCCAGCCTGCCTCTCCTCACTGAGGTTAGGAATGTGCCTGGAGACAGCTGGGAGTCCAAGACAGCTGGGAACTGTGGTCAGGACGCCTGGAACCTTTCATGGGCACAGCCGGGGCTCTAATATCGCCCCTGGCCAAAAATGCAGACCCTTGAACAAAGTGAGTGTAGGTTTGGGCTTAACAGACCGCGCCTCCTGGAACCTTGGAGCCTAACCTCCTCGGCTAATATCCTGGCTCAGAAAATAGGACAAAATACTCAGTTCTTGGAGGTTCCTCATCCATCAAATGGAAGTGAGAAAACCTACCTTACAAGATTGCGGGAAAGGTGAGAAAAAGGCATGCCGCAGGCTTAGAACACTATGGGAGTAACTGTGCTGTTCTTAGTTGGTCAGTTGTGTCCAACTCTTTGTAACCCCATGGACTGCAGCCCACCAGGCTCCTCTGTCCATGGGGATTCTCCAGGCAAGAAGAATACTGGAGTGGGTTGCCATGCCCTCCTCCAGGGGATCTTCCCAACCCAGGGATCGAACCCAGGTCTCCCACATTGCAGGCAGATTCTTTGCCATCTGAGCCACCAAGGGTAAAATCAACTGTAATTACTCTTATTATTCAATTATATTTTTATTCTTTTATGAAGGATCTGATACCACTTTCAAAAAAATCTTGTTTCACAGAGGAACAGGCTGAGTCTCCTAGAGTCAAGTTTTGGGGTGCTCCGTCTTTGGCCTCTCCTCTAAAAGTGAACACCTGTCCTTGACTCCTTTCTCCCCCACACCCAATTCCTCAATAATTCTGTCCAATTCCTCCGAAGTCTGTGGAGAATCCATACCATCCCAGTCTTTGTCATCACTCCCCTAGGCAGTTACCATCACCCAGTTCTCCTGGCTTCACCCTCTACAGAGGGCAGAGGCGTGTGTAAATACCTGAGCCTGATTAAGTCCTTCCTCTGCCTAGAACCTTCCAGGAGTACTACTTCATTCAGAGCAAAAGAAGTTTCTCCCCTGGGTCCGTAAGGCTTTGCCCCACCTGCCCCATTATTTTCCTATCTTTGTTTCTTCTCTGCCTCTCCATCCTTGCTCTAGTGGCACTAAGATCTTTGCTTTTGAGAGAACACACAGGCATATTCTAGCCTTAGGACCTTTGCACCTGCTGTTCCCCCATTCTGAAATGCTCTTCCTTCAGAAGTTTCCAGGACAGGGAATTCCCTAGCAGTTCATAGTTAGGACTCCCTGCTTCCCCTGCAGGGGTTGTGGGTTCATCCCAGATTAAGGAACTAAGATCATACATGCCAAAAATTAAAGTTCCCAGGATAATAACCACCTCAGCTCCCATCACATCTTACCACCTCTTCAAAAAGGCATCACCTGACCACCATCGCATCACTGTATTGTCACCGGAATCATCTCCACGCTTCTTCACTCCGTTATCATCTCTGAGTCCGACACAAGAACATCAGTTCGACAAAAGCAGGGATTTTTGTCTGTTTTGTTCATTGCTGTGGAGTTTAGCGTCAATAAAATATATTTTCCTAGGTCTTTTCTGCCTCCACCATCTTCATCTTTGGCTGCTTTTTCCTATAAATTCCTTTATTTAAAAAGAAAGTCTGCAAAAGGGCTCTTAAGGAGAGCAATGGCAGTCAAAGGGCGTCAGTCTGTAGCTGGTGGGGTTACCAGGGTCCCAGCGACCGTGGGTGCACCAGGGCAGCCGGTGGAACCGCTGGTCTCTAACCCATCCCGCTGGGGCGAGAAGCGCTCGGAGCGGCTGGAGCTCCCATCCAGGCCGGGAGGCAGCCAGCGGTGCAGGTCGCCCGAAGCCCCAGGGGCGCTCCCGGACCGCCGGGAGGCACCTGGGTCTCGGCAGCAGGGGCCCCGGCTGCAGCAGACAAGGCGTAGGAGCGCGTGACGCAGGTCGCGGTTGGTGAACGTGTAGATGAGCGGATTCAGGAGCGAGTTGGCCATGGCCAGGCCCAGGAAGGGGTCCGCTTGCAGGAGCACAGGGCAGGCGCGCGCCGGGCACGCCACATCCAGCAAGAGCAGCAGGAAGAGGGGGCCCCAACAAGCCAGGAAGGCCACGAGCACCACGCTGAGCGTGCGCAACAGCGCCAAGGAGCGCGGCGTGTGGCGCGCGCGCATCGCGGCGCCCTCGCCAGTCCTGGGGTGCGCCCGTAGGCGCCGCGCTTTGGAACGCACCTGGCAGTAGATCCGCGCGTAGAGCGCACAGATGGCAGCCAGGATGCCAAGAAAGGCGAGCACGCAGAAGAGCACGTAGGCCTTGGCGTAGAGCGGCAGGACCGTGGAGCAGGCCTCCAGACGGCCCAGACAATTCCAGCCGAGCGCCGGCAGTAGTCCGAGGAGCAGCGACAAGCCCCAGGCGGCGGCGGCCAGCGCCAACGTGCGCCCCCGACGGGCGGCGGGCGCGGGTCCCCGACGCTCCATGGTGAGCAGGCGCTCGAGTGCAATGGCCAAGAGGCTCAGCACGGACGCGGAGAGCGCCACGAAGACGCCGCCCTCACGAGCGAACCAGAGCGCGGGCGACAAACGCAGCGTGAGCGGTCCCGACAGCAGGATGTTGGCGGCATAGGCGGCGCCGGCCAGCAGGTCGGACAGCGTGAGGCTGCCCAGAAGCAGGAACATGGGCGCATGGAAGCGCGGGTGGCGTCCGAGCACGACCAGCACGGCTAAGTTCTCCAACACGATGAGCGCGCACACGACCAGGCACACGACGGCGTCTGCACGCAGTCCCGCGCCAGGCTGGTAGCGCGCACCGCGGAGCTTGCCGGTGTAGTTGTAATGCTGGACGATGACCTCGCTCTCCTGCGCGGCCCGCAGCAGCCTCGGCTCCATGGGCCGCCCGCCCCAAGGCTGCGGAGAGGTTGGGAGCAATGTCAGGCCTGATGCGCACCATTCCCGGCAGCCTGCGAAGGCAGGCATAGGCGGCGCCTGACCTGGGAAGGGGGTTCTAACCCCTTACTCCCTACCCTACACGCACGCCGGGGCCCAAAGGGAATTTGGGATAGAAGGGGGGTGTCCATGGAGACAGGCCAACAGAAAGAGACAAATCATATCACGAGGGGACGGGGTAACAGAGTCCCACGTGAAAGGGACATTAATAATTCACACACAGGCACGGATATCCAGAGGCATCTTAGTCAAAAACAGACAGAAACACCCACACAGAGAAAGGGACAAATACAGTGACACATCGACAAGGACATGTGCACAGATAGTCACAAACTAGGGCAAAATACGCAGTTACACCCTCTCACGGAACCATGAAAGTACGTTCAGGTCTTCCCTGGTGGTCCAGTGGATAAGAATCCACCGCCTGCCAGTGCAGGAGACAAGGGTTCAATCCCTAGTCCGGGAGGATCCCACAGGCCCCAGAGCAACTGAGCCTGTGCCTCACAACTATTGAGCCCACGCACCGCAACTACTGAAAACCCAGCGCCCTAGAGCCCGTGTTCTGCAACAAAAGAACCCAGGCAAGGAGAAGTCCGCGCCAGGCAACTAGAGAGTAGTCCCCAGTGGGCGCAACTAGAGAAAAGCTCAGGCAACAACAAAGACCCAGCACAGCCAAAAATACATAAAAATATTTTTTAAAAGAAAGCACAAAAATAAATTTTTAAAAAAGGAAGTACATTCACACATGGACAAGGGGACACTGAAAAAGACATACAAATTCCCCCACACGCAGACAGGATCTTATGCCTACTCTTACAGGCCACAATTTCACAACCTCCACCCACCCCTGGGACCCAGAACCCCACAATCTACACGCTTCGCTGCATAGAGGTTTTTTCCCTGCGAACTCCCCGCTTCATTCGCTGCAAAACCCCAGTGAGAAAGCAGAGAAAACTCCACCCATTTTGCAGGGCCAGAGCCTGAGGGCAGCAGACGGAATTCACCTCTCATAGACTCTTGCAGAGGGACATACACGTCATTAAAGTACAATAATACCTCCCAACTGTGACTTCGCGCTAGCATGCCTTGGGCAGCTCTCCCCTTAACTCCAATTTACAGACGAGGAAACTGAGGCTCAGACGAAGTACCTCGCAGAGAAGCAGACACAAAGATTTTCATGCTCCACACAAACACATCCACGCAGAACCTGAGACACAGTCACGGAAGCCCCACTGAACAGACGAGAAAACCAGGGTCTACGGAGGGGAACGGATTTAATTGGACAGGGCAGAAACAAATGCCTTCCAGACGGCTTGAGTTGCACACAGGGAACCAGGCGCAAATACAGACTCGCAGCGAGTCACGGACTCAGCCATGCTGGGGGGAAGGGGACACCAAATACACGCAGATGAGGGTCACCCCAGGGTCACACTCGCTGCGCGGGGGACCCTGCGCAGTGGCTCGCCGCCTGTGTACCCCCCACCTCTCCTTTTGCCTGGAGACAAGGGTGGGGTAGCGAAACCTGCAGTGGTGTGGCTGGGAGAGGACGTGGCGGGGAGGATTTCGGGTGCCTCCCACCCCCATCCCGCGTCCCCGCATCCAGTCCCGAAATCTCAGGTTTTCCCCTTCCGAGAGCCTTCGGGAAAGGCCCGAGAAATCCAAGCCAAGGGGACAAGGGTGGTGGTCAGGGAAACTCCCACCCACGGGCCAGGACAAGCCCCGCGCGCGAAAGGACCCAGTGGTGGACACTCACCCCCTGCGCCCAGGTAGTGCGCGCTCGACAGTCGCGCGGCCGGGAGCGGAGACAGCGGCCCCTGTTCGGGAGGCGGGGCTGGGGACAGGCGAGGGGCGGCCCCCAAGGCAGAGCGCTGGCGATCGCCAGCAGTTGCCCCCTCCTCCTCTTGGGGTACGGGCTGCCAGCCGGCGGCTGCCAGCGCGTGTCTGCCAGCCTGTACCACCCGCCGCGGCAACGGAACGCGCCCTCGGCGCCGACTGGCACTAGCCAGCCCTCGGCTCCCCCCTTGGGGCCCGGGCGGCCCTCCCAGGGACGCTCCGTCGTGGTGGGAGGACCCGGAGACACGAACAGGGGGAGGGTTCTTCAGCCCCAGCGGCCGCAGCCTGCGCTTCTTTCCCCCCTAATAGAGGGGTCCCCTCTGTGCTCTGGGCACTGAACCCTCCTCTTTTACTACCTTCCTTCTGATTGAACCTCCTGGGCTGCACCCCAAGGACGTCCAGTAGGCGGAGGAACCGCGGCAACCCGGGTTAAGAGGGGTCTTTAGCAGCCGTAGCCTCAATTTCCCTCCCCCCGCCCCTAACAGATAGAGCCTTCGGCTTCCGGGCGCAGGCCCCACCCCCTTTCCCCTCTCCCATCCCCCAGTTTGGGGCGGGTGGGGGAGGGGCAGGCGCACTCCAGATGCTGGTGGGAATCTTCTCCTCCCCAGATAAAAAGAATCTGGCTCGTAAGTCCCCCTCGTCGTCCCGCTTCCCCCACCCCGTATCTCTCGCCCTTATCACTCTCGACAACGTGATTTACTCGGTTATCAGGTTTCTGGGCTGTGTCCCCACCAGACAGCCCCACAGGGGCAGAGATTTGCGTCTGCTCCGGGCACTGCCTGCACCCAAGCCAGTGCCCAGTAAGCAGCCGCGGAGTGAGTGAGTGAATGAATGACTGTGTCCCTCACTTTCTCCGCGTGTGTCTGCCTTCTGATTTCTCGGGGTCTCTCCGTCTCTGCTTCTCCCCGTCTCTGTGTCTCTCTCTCTCAGTCGCTTCTTAGTCTTTCGCCGTCTGTGTCTCTCCCACGCCTCTCCCAGGCCTCAGCTCCTCCAATGGGCCAGTCCCAGCTGGCCCCGCACCCGCCACCCCCACTTCCCAGGAGCTTCCAGGCTGGGAAGCTCCCTCCGATCAGAGGCCACAGCCGGGAAGGGGGGGCTGGGCCTGGCTGCTGCGACCTTCGCTAGGACTGTGCCCTTTGCACCGGCCGCCTCAGGTTCTGTCGGTCTCGCTGGCATCCGGTGGGGTGAGGGCGGCCCAGAGACGATCAGCGGATGGATCAGATGGGTCAGAGGGGCGCCCCCCCCCCACAGGAGAGAGACCCCTTGGGGCACCCAGGCTAGGTCGCACCCTCGTGTCGCCTCTTAGGGATCCTAGTGCCTCCAAATAGAACCACTCTTCCCTGCTCCTTCCCTGGTGGGTCAGATGGTGACTCGTCTGCCTGCAACTCGGGAGACCTGGGTTGGGAAGATCCCCTGGAGAAGGAAATGGCAACCCACTCGAGTACTCTTGCCTGGAAAATCTCATGGATGGAGGAGCCTGGTAGGCTGCAGTCCATGGGGTTGCAAAGAGTCAGCAGAACTGAGTGACTTCTCTTCTCTTTGCCTGCTCCAACAGATCAGGCACTGGGGCAACGCAGCCAGGGAAGCCAGAGTTGGGGGGGCGCGGAGATGGTTGTTGGGTGGGGTGGCTGTGCTAAGATTTGAGTGCTGGAGCCCCCAGCCTCCCCCGCCAAGCCCTTGAGGATGAGCCCTGAAGATTCCCCAAAGTGTCAGGGCCATGTGCTTGATAAATGACCCCCTTCTGCAAAGGGGAAGCCACACCCTAGGGTGGGAATGTGGCTGCTTCTCACCTCCCAAGTGGCAATCTCACCTCCCACGAGCCCTATATACAGTGGAGGGGGGCTTCCGGCCCCCGGTCCCCGGCCCAGCACCCCCAACTTGTGCCACCTCACGCATGAGATCCCACAAGATCATAGCCTTCTTCTGCTCCAGAGGGTCCCATGGCTCCCTATGTGGCTCAGAGTAAAAGTCCAAATTCAAAAAATACCAGGCCTTCAAGGCCCACAAGGCCTGGCACAGTCTCTCCCCCTTTCATCTCCATTCTTCCTATTCCAGCCCCACTGTCTCCCCCCCACCCACACCAGTTTCTCACACTCTTTAAGATCTTGGCACTTGGGGATCAGCGTGCCTGAACACCCTGCCCCAAGCCCTTCCCAGGCGGTGACTCCCTCAGAGAGGCCTTCCGGTCTGTGTCCCCCTCCTCCCCAATCTCACACTGCAGTTGGTACCGTCTGAAATGACCTTCGTTATTTACTGATTCATCTGGTACATCGTATATCTCTGCCCTGGACTCCCAGCTCCAGGAAGGCAGGGGCCCTGTCTTGTCTTTCTGTCTAGTCATTGAGTAAAGATTAAGAGCTTGGAGTCTGGAGCCAGGCTCAGTTACTTTGTCATCTAGGACTTCAGACCAGTGACACCCTCCTCGGAGCCTTGGTGGGCTCTTTTGTAAAATGGATAATGACAGTTTCCACTTGGAGAGATGCCCCTGAGGAGGAAGGGATGGAACGGAGCTTCGAGACACAGGTGAGTGTTCTTGCCCGGCCAGTTCTGCTGCCAGGGCCGTCACCCACAGGGGCTGCTCCACCCAATCTGTACCCATTCTCCCTGAGCTGTAGCCACGGCTCTAAAAGAGCAAAATGCCTCCCACAGCCCCCTCACACCTTCACCCATCCAGAGAGGCAGAGGGCTGCAGCAAGACCTCCCATTCCCCCATCTCTTATCTCCCATCTACCAATTCTGAGGCTTGAATGTGGCTGCAGGGAGCTGCAAACTGACAACTTTCCCACGACCAAAGACCAGAGCAGTCATGTTTCTGCAAGGAGGAGGGGGTGGTGTCTCAAACTGTAGGTCAGAGGGCCAACTCTGCCTGACAACTATAAGATTTGTTTGCTTGGCTTCAAGATTTCCCATTCAAATGTCTGTCTGAACTGTATAGAAACACTGTACTCGGGTGAATGAGTTTGTGTCTCACAGGGGTAGAGCTTAATTTGGGAATAGCTATGTACTAGCAGTGAATAAATAAGTACATAGATCTTAGATACTGACAACCAGTTTTCATACTGCTGGAGAGGAAGTTGCAAATAAGCAATGTGGTGCTAGATGGGGTTATCATTAGGAAATGTTTACTTTAATAGTTAGAGATGAACCTATTTGCAAAGTGGAAATAGAAACACTGAGGTGGAGAACAAACATATGGATGCCAAGGCAGGGGAAGGGTGGGTGGGATAAACTGGGAGGTTGAAATTGACATATATACACTATTGATACTGTGTATAAAATAGATAACTAATGAGAACCTACGGTATAGCACAGGGAACTCTACTTAATGCTCTGTGGTGACCTAAATAGGAAGGAAATCCAAAAAGGAGTAGATATATGTATCCATAGAGCTGATTCACACAACACAGTAATGCAGCTATACTCCAATAAAAATTTTTTAAAATAAATATAGGTTTGAATGTATACAGATTTCCTAGCTCTGTCTGCCGTGTGTCCAGAAGTGATGACACCCTAGAAGCAATGAGTACACTCAGCATCCAGATCTGGTTTCTAAATACCATTTTCCAGTAGGAGGAGCCAGGGCTCCTTGGAGAAATGACTGCTTCCAGGATGAGGGCAGAGAAAATGCACAAGGACACTGGAGCATCTTCTAGAGTCCGAAGTGGAAAAATAAAAAAAGCCAAAAAGACAGCAACCAACCTGAAAAGAACTCCTGCTGACCAAAGCTGGAGCAATTTGAACAAACTAGACTGCAATAGAATTGAATTATAACCCAAAGAATAAATAACCACAAATCCAAACTAATTTAAATACATGAGTGAATCTATTTTAAGATGAGGGAGAAGGAACAACTCTTCCTGACAGAAAAATTCCAATTCAGAAAAGTATACCCAGGACCTTGTAATGTCAAAGCTTCATTTCGATGCTCCCAAAAGTATTAGTGTGTATATTTAAAATTTTCATTTATCACAGGGAAATTTAAAATTGATTCATAAAAAAAAAAATCACATTTTTCAAGATTTCAAAGGATATGAAAAATTTTAAGTGTAACATTTTACTTTTTAAATGCTGTTTTTCCTCCTCTGATTCTGCCACCTCTGTCTATGTTACCTAATTATTTTTGAAATTTTGTGCACATCCTGTGGGTTTATTGATCAGTTAACACGGCATTTTAGGGGATCTGTATATACTAGCCATAGATTTTTCTATGCAGTAAACATTGTTTATATATAAATTGTAAATTTATCCAACTAATTTGTTGAAATAATTCCAGTGAAACTGTGAAGCCTGAGGATACCCAACATTTATAGTTTCGAGTCCAAAGTAAAATAGATTTTCCTCTATTATGTAGACAGGATTTCATCAATCTTATCTACAAGTGTTTATGTGGATATATTTCCTAAAACAGTATAAATGTTACATTTTTATTCTTTGGCAAGATGATGTTACAAAGAAATTGGCCTTTTCTTCTGTTAACTGTTCAGTTCTGTCATCTCATATTTGCTTAGTCCTTACCAATCTCTTGCGTTACTTCATTTTGCTCTGGTTTTTTTCTTTCATTTTCCTTGCTATATCAATGTCTTAGTGTAGTGCAAATGAAATACCGTATTTTATTGCTGTCAGTTTTCTGTGGTGTTTTGTATTTTGGTTGTGTGTTAAAATATAATCATGCTATGTTTAAAAAAAAAAAAGAAAAGTATAATGAGGGGCTTCCTTGGTGGTCCAGTGGTTAGAACAAAGAGCTTCCATTGCAGGGGTCATAGGTTTAATCCTTAGTCGGGAAAGTAAGATCCCACAAGCCGTGGGATGCAGGAAAAAAAAAACACATCACTATGCACTTTGGGTGATAATGATGTGTTTATGGGTCATGTAGATTCACCAGTGGTTAAAATACACTACTGTCGTGTGGGATGTCCATAGAGGGAGAGGTTTGGGGTGGGAGAGCTGGGTGTGTATGGGAAATCTCTGTACTTTCTGCTCAATTTTGCTGTGAAACTAATACTGCTATAAAAAATAAAATTTAGGTGGGAGGGGGTATCGGGATGGGAAATACATGTAAATCCATGGCTGATTCATGTCAATGTATGGCAAAAACCACTACAATATTGTAAAGTAATTAGCCTCCAACTAATAAAAATAAATGGGAAAAAAATAAAATTTATTAGTCAAAAAAAGGAGGGGAGATAAATTAGAGTTTGGGATTAATATATACACACTACTACAGATAAAATAGATAATCAACAAGGACCTACTGTATAGAGCAGGGAATTCTACTCAATATTCTGTAATAACCTGTATGGGAAGAGAATCTGAAAAAGAATTGATATAACTAAATCACTTTGCTATACGCCTGAAACTAACACAACATTATAAATCAGCTATGAAAGTGAAATGTTAGTTACTCAGTTGTCTGTGATTCTTTGCGACCCCATGGACTGTATTCCCCAGGCTCCTCTGTCCATGGTATTCTCCAGGCAAGAGTACTGGAGTTCGTAGCCATTCCCTTCTCCAAGGGAATCTTCCTCACCCAGGGACTGAACCCAGATCTCCCCCATTGCAGGCAGATCCTTCACAGTCCGAACCACCAGGGAAGCCCAAATCAGCTATACTTCAATAAAAGTAAAAATTAAAAAAAAAAACAATGTAAAAAGCATTTGCCTGAGAAATCCTTGGGTGGATATATGCTCCCAGCTCACGCTGCTGGGAGGCTTTGGATATTTCTATTGCCAGCCTGGCCGCTGAAGCTATTTGAACTTGAAATGGCTGACTGTGCTGTCAGGAGCACGATTTTTTTTTAAATGTTTATATTCTTATTTATTTTCTGGGCCAAGTCTTAGTTGAGGCATGTGGGATCTAGTTCCCTGACCAGGGATCCAACCCAGGTCCCCTGCACTCAGAGCCTGGAGCCACTGAACCACCAGGGAAGTCCCTTCGTTTCGCTAATTTTTCTTTCGTTTCGTTTTATGACTGAATAGTACTATTGTATGAATGTCCTTATTAAAGTTTTTTTAATTTTTTTTTACCAAAGTTTATTCTTAATTGTACAATAGGTTCTAAGACAACACTTCATTCTAACTATAGGTGGCAACAGATATTATGGCAGAGAATCCAGATGTTTAAACAGGAATGGAAATAAGGGTCTTCGTTGCCTCAGACACAAGGAACAGCTTACTGTTTGCCAAATTTCTTAATTTCACCTCTGGTCAGAGGGCCTTTCCCCAAGGCCTTTGCTTTTAGCTCCTCCAGTTTCTTCTGCTCCTCCTTCTGTTTCTGCTTGAATGTCTTATCTTCCTCGTCCGTCTCCTTGGCTTGCTTCCTGAGCTGCTTCCGGAGCTTCTTCTTGCCACCTTTATGGCCCAATATGGTGCCTGATGCCCCTTCCCCAGACTCTGCCGTGGAAAGTGCTAAAGATTTTTAAAGGCTCTGAGAAGAGGCTTTGAGTTGGGAGGAGGAGGGGAGGAGAAGGCAGCTTCGTAGGGACAGGAGTAGGGGGGAAATCACCTTGTCCCCAAGTGCTGGGCACAAATTGGGCAGAGCCATGCTTTTCTCACCTGCTCACTTCGGACCTTGTGAGCTGCCCATGGGGAAATCTGACCTCACCCTCCCGCACATGTGTCCCCAGTTACTGCTGGGATTAAACCCAGGCCAAGGGAAGGGAAGATCCCCTGGAGGAGGAAATGGCAACCCACTCTAGTATTCTTGCCTGGGAAATCCCCTGGACAGAGGAGCCTGCTGGCTAGAGTCCATGGGGTCTTAAAGAGTTGGATATGACTGACTGACTAAACAACAAGGGCTCCAAAAGCTGCAGGTGTGAATGGGGGAACTGAGTCCCCTGGAGGCAGAGGGGGCAGGGGCACCCCTCCATGCATCCCTCACTTCCAAATGAGCCTTGAAACTTGGAATCAGAACCGTCTCTCTCTTTTCCCCTTCACACTTAGACATTCATTTCACAAACTAGGTTATGGAGGAGAAGGGAAAGAACAGCTGGGCAGAAGGATTGAGTCAGCATATGCAAAAATCTGGAGGCTGGAAAGAATGTGTGCATAAAAGAAATAGAAATCAGGTCGGTAGGGCAGAATTGTGGCAAAAGGGAAGGAAAGAGCAGGGGTGGTGGGGGTGAAGCTGGGGGCTGGGCAAGGGAGGATCTGTGGACCTCAAATATCAGGCCTCTGCTGTCTGACCAACATTTTGCTGTGTGACTTGCTTAACCTCTCTGACCTCAGTCTCCTCATCTGTAAAATAAAGTCATGAAAGCCTTTTTTGTTCTCACAGTGATCTTGAGACACGAGCACCCTCATTGGTGTAAAGAGCTAACACATTGCCCAAACCCAGAGCTTAACCACTTGATAAATGTCAGACATTATTTATTTTTAACAACTTTATTGAGCTATAATTCACATACCACACAATTCACCCATTTAAAGTATGCAATTCTGAGGAGTTCAACAGTTAAGACTCAGTGCTTTCACAGCAGGGGGCCTGGGTTCTATCCCTGGTCAGGGAACTAGATCCCACATACTGCAACTAAAGATCCTGGATGCCTCAACTAAGACCCAGTATGTTTGTGTGTGTTAGTCACTCAGTCGTGTTCAACTCTTTGCAACCCCATGGATTATAGCCCTCCAGGCTCCTCTGTCCATGGGATTCTCCAGTCAAGAACACTGGAGTGAGTTGCCATTTCCCTCCTCCAGGGGATCTTCCCAACCCAGAGATCTAACCCAGGGGTCTCCTGCATTGAAGGCAGAGTCTTTATCCTCTGAGCCACCAGGGAAGTCCATGCAGCCATATAAATAAATAGTTTACCTGGAGAAGGAAATGGCAACCCACTCCAGTATTCTTGCCTGGAAAAATCCATGGACAGAGGAGTCTGGCAGGCTGAAGTCCATGGGATTACATGACTGAGCATGTGTGCATGAGGGTGGAGGGAGATGGGTTGGTAGCAATAAACTGGTAGAACTAAAAAAAAAAAAAAACCATCTGGGGAAAGCAAAAGATATATATGTACGTATAACTGAATCACTTTTCTGTACATCTGAAACTAACCCAACATTGTAAATAAACTATACTTCAATTAAAAAAGAGAAAAAAGAAAGCTCAAGCAAACCAGACCATTGGCAACTGGCCCTTGCCCTCCTCCCCACCCCTCATCATACCATGGTCTATCTCTGAATCTTCATATCTGACAACTGTTCCTCATGATCAGAGAAGCAGGACTTGGGGTCAGACAGACGTGGGTTGGAATTCTGTCTCCAGTGATCAGCAGATGGATTCATTTCTGTGAGTCTCAGTTTCCTTATCAGTTAAATAGAAATTCTAATTACTCCCTCTCTCACAGGGTTCAATGAGATAGGTCATGTCAACTCTTTTTTTTTTTCTAACTTGTCTACACCAGGTCTTAGTTGCAGCAAGTGGGATCTTTAGTTGTGGCATGTGGGATCTAGTTCCCTGTTATAGTTGTTCAATCACTAAATTGTGTCCGGCTCTTTGAGACCCCATGAACTGCAGCACTCCAGGCTTCACTGTCCTTCACTATCTCCCGGAGTTTGCTCAAACTCAGGTCCATTGAATCAATGATGCCTTCCAAACATCTCATCCTCTGCCGCCCCCTTCTCCTCTTGCCTTCAGTCTTTCCCAGCATCAGGGTCTTTTCCAGCGAGTTGACTCTTCCCATCGGGTGGCCCAAGTATTGGAGCTTCAGCTTCCGAATCAATCCCTCCAGTGAATATGCAAGGTTAATTTCATTTGACTGGTTTGATCTCTTTGCAATTTAAGGAACTCTCAAGAGTCTTCTCTAGCACCACAATTTGAAAGAATCAATCTTTCGGCACCTAGCCTTCCTTACAGTCCAACTCTCATATCCATCCATTCCTGACAACTGGAAAAAACCATAGCTTGGGCTATATGGATCTTTGTCAGCAAAATGATGTCTCTGTTTTTTAATATGCTGTCTAGGTTTGTCATAGGTTTGTCCTTCTCCCAAGGAGCAAGCATCTTTTAATTTCATGGCTGTAGTCACTGTACGTAGTGATTCTGGAGCTCAAGAAAATAAAATCTGTCACTGTTTCCACTTTTCTCCATCTATTTGCCATGAAGTGATGGGACCAGATGCCATGATCTTAGTTTTTTGAATGTTGAGTTTTAAGCCAGCTTTTTCACTCTCCTCTTTCTAGTTCCCTGGCCAGGGAATCAAACCTGGGCTCCCTGCATTAGGAGCTCTGAGTCTTAGCCACTGGACCACCAGGGAAGTCCCTCATGTCAACTCTTTAGTGCAATTCCTGGCATTGAGTAGGTGCTGTATTTATCAGGATTTGTTTAGCTGAAAGTTACAGAAAAAAAAAATTAAGTCGAACTCAAAAACAACTCAAACAAGCATGGAGGCTGTGGTTAGGAATGAACTGACTCCTGTAGCTGAAAATCTGGGGATCTGGGAGTTGGGCTAACTTCAGGCATGGCTGGATCAAGAAGCTCCTAAAGCACCAGGAATCCAACTCTCTCGTGACTCAGCTGAGCTTTAATCTCATTAAGCTCCCCTTTGGGTGGTAGAGATTCTTCCTGGTGCTGCAGATTCATTATTCCCACTCAGAAGCAATTTGGAAAGAGATACCAATTGCTCTAGGGTTCCACCAGAAGTCCCAATACCGAATGTCATGGGCCTTTCTAGGATCACGTGTCATAACTTAACCAATCTCCTAGCCCTGGGTGGGGGTGGGGGTGGAGATGGACTACTCTGATTGGTCAGGCTGGAAATGTGGGCGGGGTCAACCCAAAATTGATCTGAGCCTGTTCATGTGGGCCATTAGGAGTCCCCAAATCTTGCTAGGTTGCTTTTCAGGAATCTCAGATGGGAAGATCATGCAACAACAGAAAAGGCAAAAGTTAAATTCTGGGAGTTCAGTTTAGGGCCAGTTGAGTTTGAGATGCCTCCCAGCCATCAGGTGGTATCACTGAGTCATCAATTGAATAGGAGATATGCACTCACCTTGTGTCTTGGTGGCTCAAGTTGTTTTTATTGATTTTATGGAAATATAATTTAATTTCCTTTTGAAGGATACCATTAAGTGTAATTATTATGATACATAATTTCTCCACTGGAGTTAATTTTCTTTTCTTTTTTTTTTTTTGGTTCTCTTTCTTAGAAGGTCTAGCAATTTATCTCAATTCAACTTTCCAAATGATAAAATTCATCCAGTAATTTAGAGGTGAATGTGTGCATGCTAAGTCGCTTCAGTGATGTCCAACTCTTTGTGACCCTATGGACTGTAGCCCCGCCACCCCCAGGCTTCTCTGCCCATGGGATTCTTCAGGCAAAAACCCTGGAGTGGATTGCCATGCCCTTCTCCAGGGGATCTTCCTGACCCAGGGACTGAATCCGTCTCTTATGTCACCTGCATTAGCAGGCAGGTTCTTTACCTTTAGTACCACCTGGGAAGCCTAATATAGATGTAGCATTCTGTTTTTCTCCTGGGTTCTTTTTGTTGGGGATTTCTTCCTGTCACGATCCTAGGAATTCTCTTTTTTGTTTAACTGGGTTTTTTCCCCAATCAGTTAATTTAATTTTGGTTGTGTTGGGTCTTAGTTGCTCCTTGAAGGATGTTTGTTTCCCAGTATGGGCTCCAGAGTGCTTGGACTGAGTAGTAGGTGCTTGTACTTAGTTGCCCCAAGGCAGGTGGGATCTTAGTTCCCCCACAAGGGATGGAACCTGAGTCCCCTGCATCGGAAGGTAGATTCTTAACCACATCACCAGGAAACCGCCCCCCCACCCAGGAATTCTCTGTATCCCTTTCCTAAGTCAGAATTCTCTCCTCCCTCTCCTGTCTTCTCTTTCTCTTTGTTTACCCTTCCATTGTTGTGGACCGCTGCTACTGCGTGTGCTGAGTCGTGTCCGACTCTGTGACCCCATGGACTGTAGCCCACCAGGCTCCTTTCTCTATGGGGATTCTCTAGGCAAGAATACTGGAGTGGGTTGTCATTTCCTCCTCCAGGGGACCTTCCCCACCCAGGGATCGAGCCCGACTCTCCTGAATCTCCTGCATTGGCCAGCGGATTCTTTACCACTGAGCCACCGGGGAAGCCCTTTGTGGAGTTCATCCCACAGTAAATTTCTGAAAACATAAGGGTATGAGACAGAACATTTATGAGCCCTTCCATGTTTTGGAATGTCTTTACTTGCACCTCACATTTGATTGACATTTTGGCTCTAGATAGTGGTCTGGATGAAATATGGTTTACTGTCAGAATTTTGAATCCATGTCCTCATTGTCAAAGTCTGTATAGTCAAAACTGGGATTTTTCCAACAGTCGTGTATGGATGTGAGAGTTGGACCATAAAGAAGGCTGAGTGCCAAAGAATTGATGTTTTTGAATTGTGGTGCTGAAGAAGACTCTTGAGAGTCTCTTGGACAGCAAGGAGATCAAACCAGTCAATCCTAAAGGAAATCAACCCTGAATATTCATTGGAAGGACTGATGCTGAAGCTCCAATACTTTGGCCACCTGACACAAAGAGCCGACTCATTGGAAAAGACCCTGATGCTGGGAAAGATTGAGGGCAAGAGGAGAAGGGGAGGACAGAGGATGAGATGGTTGGATGGCATCACCAACGTAATAGATGTGAGTTTGAGCAAACTCTGGGAGATAGTGAAGGACAAGAAAGCCTGGTGTGCTGCAGTTTATGGGATTGCTAAGAATCACACACGACAGCGACTGGACAACAGCAACCCACTGTCTGTGTTTCTGGTGTCTTTGAACGTGTTGTTTGTTCTACCAGGAATGCACTTCCTTCCTCTCTTTTCTTATTTATTTATTCGACTGTGCTGTCTTCACTGCTGCACGTGGGCTTTCTCTAGTTGAGGCAAGTGGAAGCGCCTCTGCAGTTGTGGGGCTTCTCTTGTTGCTGAGCACCAGCTCTCGGGCCTGTGGGCTTCGGTAGTCGCAGCCCTCGGGCTCTGGCGGGCGGGCTCAGTAGTTGTGCACGGCCTTAGTTGCTCTGCAGCATCGTGGGATCTAAATTCCCGGACCAGGGATGGACCCCACGTCCCCAGCATTGGCAGGTGGATCCTTAGCCACTGGACCAGCAGAGCAGTCCTCCTCTCTTTGTCTAATTCCCACCATCTTTTAGCTCCTATGATAAACATTTTTATAGATTACTATCTTTTGAATGAAAAACAACTTCAATTCGGGGACTCTCTTGACCATTTCTGGCTATTAAAATGTAACTGGAAATGACACATCACTTCCGTATGTCAGTCACTTCTGAGAAGGCATGAAAAAGCCCATACAAGCTTCTCTATTCTCTCTCTTGTCCCTCCACAGCAACTGAGACAGTGATTTCCTCCTGATGGTGCAGCTGCAAGAAGGCGGTTATCTGGTCAACCTGGACCCCAGCATGACTGTGTGGAGCTAAGCCCCTGCAGCTCAAGTAGGATGAGTAACACGAGGGAAAAGTAAACTTTGGTTGAGTTGAACCACTGAACTTTGGACTTGTTTGTTGCTGCAGGAAAACTTGACCTTTTCTGACTGACGTCAGCCTCTTCTGACTAATAGGCTTCCTCAGAAGTCCTCCTGAATCACAGCCCCCGAACTATACTGTTTCCCACCGTTGCAAGTTTTCATTTTCCTGCATGACCCATATTGCAATCATTAACTATGTAATTATTTGTGTAATGAATTCAACATCTATCTCCTGGGACTTCCCTTGTAGTCCAATGGCTAAGACTGTCCATTCCCAATGCAGGGGGCTGAGATTCAATCCCTGGTCAGGAAATTAGATCCCACATGCTACAACTACATCTCAGTATAGAAAAAAACAAAAGAAAATAAAGAAAACATCTATCTCCTTTATCTCACCTCCAGAAAGCCAAGAGGAGACAAAGATTTTTTTTTCTTGTTAATACCCAGCACAGAGCTTTACACACAATAAATGCTCAGGACACATTTGTGCTTTTTTTGGTTTTTTGTTTTCAGGGTTTTCTTTAGTAACATTGTTTTAATGTTTAGTTTAATTAAAATTTTTATTGATGTAGCATTGATTTACAATGTTGTGTTAGTTTCAGAAGTACAGCAAAATGATTCAGTTATATGTCTATATATGTATGGGCTCAGACGAGCAGTCACGTGTATATGTATGCTTTTTTAGATTTTTTTTTTCATCACAGGTTATTGGAAGACATTGCATATAGTTCCCTGTCCTCTTCAGCAGGTCTCTGTTGGTTGTGCTCAGTAGCTCAGTCGTGTCTGACCCTTTGTGACCCCATGGACTGTAGCCCACCAAGCATCTGTCCATGGGATCTTCCCAACTCAGAGACTGAACCCAGGTCTCCTGTGTCTCCTGCATTGGCAGGCAGACTCTTGACCACTAGCGCCACCTGGGAAGCCCCATTTTATCTATAGTAGTGTGTATATTTTAATCCTAGACTCCTAATCTGTCCCTCCCCCCAGGATACATTTGTTGAATGAAAGAAGAGTTTGGCATTCTTTCAGCCAAAAAGGGGAGAAGGCAATGGCACTCCACTCCAGTACTCTTGCCTGGAAAATCCCATGGATGGAGGAGCCTGGTGGGCTGCAGTCCATGGGGTCGCGAAGAGTCGGACACGACTGAGCGACTTCGCTTTCACTTTTCCCTTTCATGCATTGGAGAAGGAAATGGAAACCCACTCCAGTGTTCTTGCCTGGAGAATCCCAGGAACGGGGGAGCCTGGTGGGCTGCCGTCTATGAGGTATCACAGANCTTCTAAAGCATTCTCTCATGCAACTCTCGGTGTAATAGAAGCATGAAAGGCAGGATAAGGTGGCTCCAATAAAGCAAGGAAGTGTGATGAGGAAAATGATCTCTCATGAGAAAGCATCTTTGCACGTATTTGTTTCTTTCAAGAGTGTGTCATTTAGTCAGCTCAGCCTGGGGGCAGTTATTGCACAAAAGGGCATGGGAACTGGGTGGAGAGACACAGAAACATTCCAGAAACATTCCTGGAATTGCTGAGGAACCCAGGATGAAATTCATGTGCTGATGCCAAAATCCAGTCACCAGAAGACAAGCCTGCCTCCCTGGATTCCACTCAAATGCAATTTTGTACCTGTGTCCTAACATTACCGTAGTGATTTGTTCGTTCAGCTTTATTGGAGTGTCACTGACATACAAAAAACTACCCCACTTTTTCAAAAAAATTGTTTCAATTTTTTTGTCTGCATTGGGTCTTCATTGCTGCAAATCGCCTTTCTCTAGTAGTGCGGGCTTCTCATTTCAGTGGCTTCTCTTGTTGCAGAGCACAGGCTCTGGGGCGTGTGGGCTTTAGTAGCTATGGCTCGCCGCCCAGGCTCAGCAGTTGTGGTGCACCGGCTTTAGAAGCTCTGAGTGGTCTTCTCGGACCGAGGATTGAACCCGTGTCCCCTGCATTGACAGGCGGGTTCTTATCCACTGGACCACCAGGGAAATCCTCTTCTTTCTTTTTCTTAATTGAAATGCAGTTGATTTAAAATATTAGTTTCAGATGTACAACAGAGTGATTCAGTATTTTTGTAAAATACTCCATTTAAAGTCATTATAGGGGGACTTCCCAGGTGGTCCAGTGGTTAAGAATCCACCTGCCAATGCAGGGGACAGGAGTTCAATCCCTGGTCAAGGAAGATTCCACATGCCTTGGAGCGACTAAGTCCACATGCCAGGACTACTGAAGCCCATGCACCCTAGAGCTTGTGCTCCACAACAGGAGAAGCCACTGAAATGAGAAGCCCACACACTGCAACTAAAGAGTAGCCCCCACTTGCTGCAATTATAGAAAAGCCCATGCAGCAATGAAGACCCAGTGCAACCAAAAATAAATAAGTATACAAAGTCATTGCAGGGAATTCCCTGATGGTCCAGTGGTTAAGAATCCATGCTTCCACTGCAGCAGACATGGGTTCAATGATTGGTTGGGGAATTACTACACAAGCCACGTGGTGCAGCCGAAACATTTCTTTTAAAATATTGGCTATCTTCCCTGCATTGTACAATATATCCTTGTGCTTATTTATTTTATAAGGGTAGTTTATACCTCTTAATCCCCTATGCCTATGCTGCCCCTCCCTCCTTCCCCAGTCCACTGGCAAGCACTAGTTTGTTCTCTATATCTGTGAGTTTGTTTCTGCTTTGCTATATTCATTCATTTGCATTGCTTTTTTTAGATTCCACCTATAAGTTTTTGTCTTTGTCTGATTTATTTCACTAAAGCATGATACCCTTCAGATCTATCCATGTAGTTGCAAATAGCAGAATGTCGTTCTTTGCCAGGGATGTTCTTGAAAGAGTAATGGAGTTAGGACCACTGTGATGCTTGTCTTCATGCAGCTTCTGCTCTCACCGGGGATGCTAGGATTAACAAGCAATGACACAATTAATTATAATGAGATAAGGTGACTCAGCAGTGAAAGAATCTGCCTGCAATGCAGCCGCCTGCAATGCAGGAGACACAAGTTCAATTCCTGGGTCAGGAAGATCCCCTGGAGAAGGAAATGGCAATCCACTCCAGTATTCTTGCCTGGGAAATCTCATGGACAGAGGAGCCTGGAGGGCTACAGTCCATGGGGTCGCAAAGAGTCAGACATGACTTAGCAACTGAAACCATCACCACAATAACTCATTTGTGTTCAGGAGGAGCCTGAGAATAAAGAGCCTGGCCCAAGCTGGAGGTCAGGGCAGATCTCTAAGAGCAGGTGATGGGCAAGCCAAGACCTGATGAAAAGAAGGGATAAACAGGTTGCATTGGTTTCCTAAAGATGCTATTTCCACGAGCCGTGTGTCTTGAGACAGAAGTAGATTCTCCCACAGGGCTGGGAGTTGGAGGTGCAAAGTCAAAGTTATCATCAGGGCTAAGCTCTCTCTGAAGGCTCAAGGGGAGAATCATTCCTTATCCTGTCCTAGCTTCTGGTGGTTACTGGCCTTCTTTGGTTTACATGCAACTGCATCACCTGAATCTTGGCTTTCGTTCACGTGACCTCCTTCCTCTGTCTGTCTGCGTCTCTGTCTTCTCTTCTTGTAAAGACACCAGTCATATTGGACTCAGGACCCGCTCTAGTTCAGTATGGTCTCATCTTAATTAATTACATCTGCAAAGGCTCTATTTCCAAATAAGATCCCAACCACAAGTACCTGGGATTTGGATTTCAACACATCTTTTTTGGAGAAACAGTACAGCCCACAAGACAGGCTGGCCTGTGACAGTCATTGTTATTTGGAATCTGAGGTGGTGGCCCCCAGGTGGATCCAGACAAGCCTGGGGTGGCCTAGTAGGGGTGCCTGTCATCTCATTTGCTTAAGGCAGTGGGACCTTGCAGGAGGAGGAGGGAAAAGAGGAGAAGGGGTTCAAAGAGCAGAGTCAGCACCTTTGAAGGTACAGACGGAGACACTTCCCTGGTGGTCCAGTGGTTAAGAATCCGCTTGCCAATGCAGGGGACACGGATTCGATCCCTGGTCTCGGAAGATCCTACATGTTGCGGGCAACTAAGCCCGAGTGCTCCAACTACTGAGCCTGAGCACCACAAACACTGAAGCTCATGCATCCTAGAGCCTGAGCTCTACACCAAGAGAAACCACCGTCATGAGAACACCGCTCACTGCAACTAGAGAGTAGCCCCCACTTGCTGCAACTAGAGAAGTCCACACACAGCAACAAAGGCCCAGCACAGCCAAAAAATTAATAAATTAAAAAAAAAAGAGCAGTCAGCACCTTTGAAGATACAGCCTGGGTGCCAACCCTACACACCAGGTGGTCCACCCTGACACAGGGAGAGGTTGTCTGGGGACATAGAGGGAAGAACCCAGGGTTCCAACTGTATCTGGCATGTCTCCTGTCATCACCTGGGCTGTAGTTACATTTTCTGCACGAATACAGTAGCCACTAGCTGCATGTGACCATGGAGAACTTGAAATATGGCCAGTCCGAGTTGAGATGTTCCGTGGTTGTTAAACACACATGAAATGTTATCAGAAATGTTATCAGACAGTTAGAGAACACTACCCAAAAAAAAGATAAAACAGCTCCACAATAATTTTTTATACTTGTTACATGCTGAAATGATCATATTTTGTGTATATTGGGTTAAGTAAAAAGTATTATTGGGAATTTCCTGGTGGCCCCTTGGTCAGGACTCCGTGCTCTCACTGCCAAGGGCCTGGGTTCAATCCTTGGTGGTGGTTTAATTGCTAAGTCATGTCCAACTCTTGCGTCCCCATGGGCTGTAGCCTGCCAGGCTCCTCTGTCCATGGAATTCTCCAGGGAAGAATATTGGAGTGGGTTGCCATTTCCTTCTCCAGGGGATCTTCCTGACCCCATTCTCCTGTATTCAGGCAGATTCTTTACCGACTGAGCTGCAAGGGAAGCCTGCAATCCCTGATTGGGGAACTAAGATTCCACAAGCCATGTGCTCTTCCCCCCCGCAAAAAAAAATAGTATTATTAAAATTAATTTAATGTCTTTTAATTTTTTTATGAAGTTAGAATTGACATATAACACTGTATTCATTTTTAAAGTATTTAAGTATGCAACAGTATGATTTGCTATATGTATTTAATCTGGAGTGTTCACAATAAGTTTAATTAACATCCACTACCACATATTCAGACTTCCCTGGTAGCTCATCTGGCAAAGAATCCACTTGCAGTGCAGGAGACCCAGGTTCGATTCCTGGGTCGGGAAGATACGCTGGAGAAGGGAAAGGCTACCCACTCCAGTATTCTTCCCTGAAGAATTCCACGGACAGAGGAACCTGGCAGGCTACAGCCCATGGGGTTGCAAGAGTTGCACACCACTTAGCAACTAAACCACCACATATAGTTCAGTTTTTTTTCTTGTGATGAAGATTTTTAAGAACTACTCTTAGCAACTTTCAAACACAATACAGTATTATTAACTATAATCACTGTGCTGTACATGACATTCTGTTGACTTATTTGTCTTATAACTGGAAGTTTGTACCTTTGACCCTGTTTACTGATTTCATCCATCACACATTGTCTCTGGCAACCACTCATCTGTTCTCTGTATCTATGAGTTGTTTGGTTTTTTTTACGAGTCCATATATAAGTGAGATCCTGCAGTGTCTTTCTCTGTATATTTACGCAATATAAATAAACATATTTATATTGTTGTTGTCCAGTCGCTCCATCGTGTCCAACTCTTTGTGATCCCATGGACTGCAGCATGCCAGGCTTTCCTGTCCTTCACCATCTCCTGGAGTTTGCTCAAACTCATGTCCATTGAGTCAGTGGTACCATCCAACCATCTCATCCTCTGTCGTCCCCTTCTTCTGCCTTCAATCCTTCCCAGCATCAGGGTCTTTTCCAATGAATCAGCTCTTCGCATCAGATGGCCAAAGTGTCGGAGCTTCAGCTTTAGCATGAGTCGCTCCAGTATATATGCAAGGTTAATTTCATTTAAGACTGACTTGTTTAATCTCCTTGCTGTCCAAGGGACTCTCAAAGTCTTCTCCAACACCACAGTTCAAAAGCAATTCTTCAGTACTCAGCTTTCTTTATGGTCCAACTCTCGCATCCATACATGACTACTGGAAAAACCATAGCTTTAACTATATGGACCTTTGTTGGTAATGTCTCTGCTTTTTAATATGCTTTTTAGATTTGTCACAGCTTTTTTTCCAAGGAGCAAGTATCTTTTAATTTCATGGCTGCAGTCACCACCTGTAGTGATTTTGGAGCCCAAGAAAATAAAGTCTGTCACTGTTTCTGTTGTTTCCTCATCAATTGCCATGAAGTGATGGGATCGGATGCCATGATCTTCATTTTTTGAATGTTGAGTTTAAAGACAGTTTTTTCACTCTCCTCTTTCACCTTCATCAAGAGGCTCTTTAGTTCCTCTTTGCTTTCTGCCATAAGGGTGGTGTCATCTACATATCTGAGGTTATTGATATTTCTCCTGGCGATGTTTCTCCTAACTTGTGATTCATCTAGTCCAGCATTTCAAATGATGTTCTCTGCATATAAGTTAAATAAGCAGGGTGACAATATACAGCCTTGACGTCCTCCTTCCCCAATTCTGAACCAGTCCATTGTATGTCCAGTTCTAACTGTTGCTTCTTGACCTGCACACAGATATGCATAGGAGGCAGGTAAGGTGGTCTGGTATTCCCATCTCTTTAAGAATTTTCCACAGTTTGTTGTGATCCACACAGTTAAATTTATATATATTAATATATACATATATATAACTTTCCCCCATGCTTCATGGCTTGTGGGATCTTAGTTCTATGACCAGGGGTCAAACCCATGCCCCGGCATAGAAGTGCTGAGCTCTAATCACTGGACTGCCAGGGAATTCCCCTATATCACATTTTCTTTATCCATTCATCCATTGGTGGAAATTTATGTTGCCTGCTTCCACATATTGGCTACAGTAAGTAATACTGTAATAAACATGAGGGTGTGCATATCTTTTTGAGATAGTGATATCATTTTTTTCAGATAAATATCTAGAAGTAGTTGGATCATATGATAGTCCTATTTTTACTTTTTTGAGGAACCAACATAGAGTTTTCCATAATGGCTCCACCAATTTGCATTCCTACCAACAGGGCTGAAGGGTTCCCTTTTCTCCACATTCTCACTGACACGTGTTATCTCTTGCCTTCTTGATAGTCGTCATTCTAACAGGTATGAGGTGCTCTCTCATTGTGGTTTTGGTAAGCATTTCTCTGATGATTAGTGATGCCAAGCACCTTTTCACCTACCAGTTAGCCATCTGTATGTCTTCATCGGAAGACTATCTACTCAGAACCTCTGCCTGTTACTGGAAATCCTGCCTCTTGGTGAGTGTCGAGCCCAAAGGCACAACCAGGGATCTTTCTCAAAGCAGCAAAATTGGGGACCTTTTATGCTAAGATTGTGTGCATATGCATGAAGGGGCTTGAGCAAAGGAGAATTCAGCATAGAATTTGGACAAAGGTTAACAGAGTCCAAGGTTTGAAAGTGAAAGTCGCTCAGTCGTGTCTGATTCTTTAAGACCCCATGGACTATACAGTCCATGGAATCCTCCAGTCCAGAATACTGGAGTGGGTGGCCTATCCCTTCTCCAGTGGATCTTCCCGACCCAGGAGTCAAACTGGGGTCTCCTGCATTGCAGGTGGATTCTTTACCAGTTGCACTATCAGGGAAGCCCTAGTCCAAGCTTTAGTTCATTGAAATCAGGAGGATTAGAAAAGGTCAACATCATTATTCCTTAGGGTCCAGTTAATCTGGTGGTTGAGTGCTTGAGGGAGGTTTGAATTTTGCTCAAGAAAGTGCTTCAGGCTAATCTTTACCACTGAAACAGAACTGGAAGTCTTTATAACTAATTTATTACCTGCCCTGTTGTTACTTCTCCTGCCTGATAATAGTTATTTGTTTCTCTGTCTTCCCTTCCCTTATGATCATTAATTACCGAGACTTGATCAAGGGCAAGCTTGTAGCCAGGCTTAGATCACAAAATGCCTTAGAGGAAAAAAAATGGCTTCTCTTATGTCAAAGGGCTTCCCTGGTGGGTTAGACTGTAAAGAATCCACCTGTAATGCGGGAGACCTGAGTTTGATTCCAGGTTGGGAAGGTCCCCTGGAGAAGGGGATGGCTATCCATTCCCATGACCTACCTTGGGAAAGCCCATGGACAGAGGAGCCTGGTGAGCTACAGTCCCTGGGGTTGCAAAGAGTAGGACATGACTGAATGACTTTCAATTTCACTTTCCTTATGTCAAAAAGGTGTATCTGGTTCTTTTCTTCCAGGGATCTCTACCCTGTCTGCTTAAAACCCACTTAATTTTTTTTTTTTTAATTTAGCGATAGCAAGTCTTCCTGGAGAAGGAAAAGGCAACTCACTCCAGTATTCTTGCTGGGGAAATCCTGTGAACAGAGGAGCCTGGTGTGCTATAGTCCATGGGGTCGCAAGAATTGGACACGACTGAGCACTTGTCAGCAGCAGTGGGTCTTAGATGCAGCGTGCAGGATCTTCATTCCTTCACACAGTATCTTTCGCTGTAGCACTTGGGTTTAGTTGCCCCAGCATGTGGGATCTTAGCTCCTCATGCATGCATGCTTGCTATGTCACTTCAGTCCTGCCAGACTCTTTGCAACCCTATGGACTATAGCCTGCCGGGCTCCTCTGTCCATGGGATTCTCCAGGCAAGAATACTGGAGTAGGTTGTCATTTCTTTCTCTACTTAATTCCTCAACCAGGATCAAACCTGTGTCCCCTGAATGGCCAGGCAGATTCTTAACCACTAGACCACCAGGGAAGTCCCACATGCCCACTTTTTAGTCCAATTATCTGTAATTTTTTTTACATGGCTACTAGAATATTGAAAAATGTACTTCATATTATGTTTCTGTTGAACAATGCTGCTCTGGATTTTTTTGTGTGTGCTGGAAATTGTTCAGGAAAATAATTTTATATATAGGTATGTTCCTAGAACTTCCCTGGTAGTCCAATAGCTAAGACTCTGAGCTCCCTATGCAGGAGACCCAGGTTCTGATACCTGATCAGGAAACTAGATTCCACATGCCTCAACTAAAGACCTCACATGCCACAACTATCAATAATAATAAACAAAACAAACCTGCTTGCCACAACTAAAACTCCCACATGACACAACAAAGATCAAAGATCCTGCATGCCACAACTGCGACCCAGTGCAGCCAAATAAATAAATAAATATTTAAAAATAGTTTTTTCCAACTGTTGTGTGGATCTGAAGGGTCAACGATGGCATGCAGGAGGCCAAGAAGGATGCAACAGTGATGGAGGGGGCCAGACCTCAGAGGGCAATGGTGGGAGTAAGAGTGACAGTAGCAATAACAATTCACAGTAACGTGGTAGTTGCTGTGTTTTAAGCATTTTGCGTGTTCATTTCATTCTTCTCCGAAGCCCTAGGAAGTAGGAACAATTACTATCCCATTTGGCAGATGAAGAAACTGAGGTATGGAGAAGCAAGGTCATCTGTTTAAGACACCTGGTTGCAGCCTCTGCCCCTTTGGGGACATGAGGACAATTAGGGATGGATTAGTAGGTGGACTGACAGACCCCGGGAAGGGAGACAATGAAGCCTGGGTATGAGGGAGCCAAGGGATGGGAGGAAAAGTCAGTGGTGGTGAAAGACAGGATCAATTAAGGGTGGACCAAACCTGGGGAGCCTGGAGGACCTCCAAGAGGGGATACAAGTGGCAACTGGATGCTGGGTGCGGACAGACACCCAGGTGGAGAGCTGAGGTTGTGGCTATGCTTGCATGAAATGGGGGTAGTGGGAAGTAATTGAGGGTCACAGTAAATCACTGCCCTCCTCCAAGAAGGAACTGTTACAGGAAGGGGGACCCCTTCCGGGGCCCAAGAATGGGCTCTTGTCTAACACTTGGAAATGAATTGTCCGAGGACACACACGTGCTGACAAAGCAGAAGACTTTATTGACAAGGCGCGCCCAGGCAGAGAGCAGCAGGATAAGAAACCCAGGAGAACTGCTCTACCACATGGCTTGAAGTCTCACGTTTTTATGGTGATGGGGTTAGTTTCTGAGTTGTCTCTGGCCAGTCATCTTGCTTGGCCCGTGTTTGGTCTGACTCAGGGTCCTTCCTGGTGGTTCGAATCTCTCAGCCAAGAGGGACTTCAGTGCAAAGGAGCCTGGGAGGTTGGTAGGACATATGATGGACTGGCATTTCCTCCCTCCTTTTGGCCCCTCCGGAATTCTCCTGGTTAGTTTTGGCAGCAGCACTGTATTCTTTATTGGAATCTCCTGTTGTGAGACAACGCATGGGAGTGGTTATCATCCTGCCTGGCCAAGGTGGGCAGTTTCCATCAACAGTGGTGGCCGTGGTGGGAGGGGTCCAGGCAGGAAATCAAACAGAAGAGGATCACCCGTGGCCACCCCAGTCAGTCTGCCTCTGAGAGGCTATAAACTCTCCTTTCATTCCACAAGTTGCTTGAGCACCTATGTATGCCAGGCCCGTGTTGAGTGTTGAGGAGTCAGCAGTGACCTAGATGGACAGAGATGTCTGCCCTCATGGTGTGGTGGGGACAGTGGATATAACATAATAAGAATTATATATATATATAAAAATAAGAATTATATATAAATAGAAGATCAGTGCTATGGTCTGAAAGTTTGTGTGTCCCCCCCCTCCCAAATTCAATTTTGAAATCCAACCCCCTTATGTGAAGTTATTAGGAGGTGGGGCCTTTGGGAATTGATTGGGGTTAGATGAGGGATATGAGGGTACAGCCCCCCCATAATTAGATTAGTGACCTTATGAAGAGGAAGAGAAACAAGGTATTTCTTTCTGTGTGCAATGCACCACGGAAAGGCCATGTGAGGACGTAACCAGGAACAGGGCCTTCACCAAGACCCCTGCAGTGCTGGCACCCTGATCTTGGACTTTCACCATCCAGGAGTATGTGAAATAAATGTCTGGGAGTTCCCTGGTGGTCTAGTGGATAAGAATCTGCCTGCCAATGCAGGGGACAGTAGTTCTATCCCTGGTCCAGGGAGAGTCCGCATGCCATGGAGCAACTAAGCCCGTGGGCCACAACTACTGAGAGCCTGCATGCTGCAACTGCTGAAGCCCATTAAGCCCTCGGGCCTAGAGTCTGTGCTCTGCAACAAGAGAAGCTACTGAGTTGAGAAGCAGCAATGAAGACCCCGTGCAACCATTAATAAAGAAATATCTAAAATTTTTTAGAAAATGTCTGTTACATAATCCGCCCAGTCTGCCCTATTTATTATAGCAGCCCCAGCTTACTCAATCAGGTTATGATAACTGCTCTGGGAAAAAAAAATATATGTAGCAGGGAAGGGAAAAGGTCCCAAGGGTAGGGATGGGGTGGAATTTTGAAGATGGTCACACTACAGGTATGACATATGAATAAAATCCTGAAGGAGGCTGAGGGAGAGCCATGCAGATATCTCAAGTAAGAGACGTCTAGGCAGAGGCAACAGCAGGTGCAAAGGTCCTGAGGTGGGATGGTACCTATTGAATTTGAGAAAGGAGGCAGGTCTTCACATCACACACCCTTGTCCAGATCCTTCATCCAACTTCCTTCAGCCGGCTGGGGACACAGCCCTTGAGCTGGCCACTAGGGGCCACTCTCTGGTTTCCAGGGTCACTATACTCATTCTGCCTGTGAGATCACAATTGGCTTTCGCTGAACCCTAACTGTGCCTCAAATGCCATGCTAAGCGCTTTAGAGAGATGAATTCAGCTGTCTTCCAAACGTTCCTCTGAGTTAGATGCATTGAAAACATTTATTGCAGTTTTATTGAGTATAAGTGACACACAACAAACCACACACTTTTAACGCGTACAATCCGTTGAGCTGGAAGCAATCACCATAACCAAGATATTAATACTAAACAAATCCTAGTTCTTTTTCTTAATCCCTCCCTCCCACGTCTCCCCACCCAACCCCCAGGCAACCACTATAGATGAGGTTGCATTTTCTAGAGTTTAAATAGAAACATAGAGTACATACTTTTAAAATTTTTGGTCTGGCGTCTTTCCCTCAGTAAAATTAGGACGATTCATTTGTGTTGTATTTTCGAGCCCCTTTTTGCTCCTGGGGAAACTGAAGCACGTAGAGATGTGGCTTGATGAAACCGGGGGCGGGGCGAGGCCGGGGCGGGGCGACCCGGCTCTGGGGCCTCCGATAAGTACCTGCAGGGGCTCGGTCGCGCCTGGGCGCTGCGATAAGGCGGGCGGCGGTGGGGGTCGCGTGGCGCTGCCGGGAGGCTCCGCGTCAGGAATCCCCAGAGCCGCCACCCGGGACCGGGGCCGGGGCCCCAGCCTGGGGGCCGGGCCGGGGCGGGGCGTCCGGCCGTGTCACGCCCGCCTCCCTCCCGGAGCCAGGGCCGCTAAAATGGCGGCGGCGGCGGTGACAGCGTCCCGCGCCGGGCCCGGGGGCCTGGTCGCCGCACCGGGGCCGCACTAGCAGTTTCCTGGGCGTCCGCGTCCCGGCCACGTCCTGGCCCCTGGGGCGCTCGCGCGCGGCCCCCGGGGCCCTCGGTCCGCCCGCCCGGCGCGCCCATGAACTCCGTGTCGCCGGCCGCCGCTCAGTACCGGAGCGGGAGTCCAGAGGACGCGCGCCGCCCGGAGGGCCGCAGGCCGCGGGGACCCCGAACCCCGGACCCCAACGGCCTGGGGCCCTCCGGAGCTAGCGGCCCCGCTCTTGCATCGGCCGGGACCGGCCCCGGAGAGCCGGACGAAGTGGACAAGTTTAAGGCGAAGTTCCTGACCGCTTGGAACAACGTCAAGTACGGTGAGGAGGGGGCGGGGCCCGGGGCTTCGATTCTGAAGTGGGAGCGAGCTGAAGTTCAGGCGGGCAGGGCTAGGATCTCGGTAGGAGTCAAGAAGAGCCAGGACCCTGCCCTTGCCAAGTATTCCACCCTTTGTTCCCCTCCTGTGAGTCACCTGTAGGTCGTCTCCCGCCCTGCCCAGCCCAGGGCGGGCCGCTGGCTGGCAGGTCCAACGGGGAATGTGTTTTCAAGTTTCAGTCGACTCCTCAGTGTGACCTAGGACAAGGTTTTTTTTTGTTGCCCTGTGCCTCCATTTTCCTCCTCTGTAAAATGGGTACAATAATCAGACCCGCTTTGATTCATCCTGAAATGAATGGCAGACATGCATGTGGCTTCCCAGATGCCACAGTTGGTAAAGAATCTACCTGCTAGTGCAGGAGACTCAAGGGACATTGGTTTGCTCCCTCGGTGGGGAAGATCCCCTGGAGGAGGAACTGGACAATCCACTTCAGTGTTCTTGCCTGGAGAATTCCACGGACAGAGGACCCTGGCGGCTTACAGTCCATGGGATGGTATAGAGTTGTACATGACTGAGCATGCACAAGCAACACATGTGGCTGTTATAGGGGCCCCGCCTCCATCTGAGAGGAATGTAGCACAGATTCCCCAAGAGCCTACCCTGAGATAAGAACTAGGAGAGTCCCCGTCTCACACATGGGGGCATGCAAGCGCTGTTACTATCCTGTTAGGGTACCTGTCTGCCAAGCAAGTGCTTCATCTTGCTTGGGGCTGCCCTATGTCTCCCCAGGTTGGGCAGTCAAAAGCCGGACCAGCTTTAGCAAGATCTCCAACGTCCATCTCTGTGGCCGCCGCTACCGCTTCGAGGGCGAGGGTGAGCTGGTGGCACCTGACTAGGGTTGGAGGAGGCCCCAAAGGGGTGTTTCTGGTGGTAGCTAACAAACCTGCTCTTGCAGGTGACATCCAGCGTTTCCAGCGGGACTTTGTATCCCGCCTATGGCTCACATACCGCCGGGACTTCCCACCCCTCGCGGGAGGCAGCCTGACCTCAGACTGTGGCTGGGGGTGCATGTTACGAAGTGGGCAGATGATGCTGGCTCAGGGCCTTCTGCTTCATTTCCTGCCCAGAGGTGAGCGGTGGTGGAGGGGGAAGGGAACAGGAGTATAGCGCCAACCCCAGGTCAAAAGTGTTAGAATGGTTTGTAAACCAAGAATTTCAAGTCCTGTTAGAATTTTGTGTAAAGTTAAGTTTGGGGGTGGAGTGAGAGTTGTTTATAAAATAAGTTTAAGGGGGTGTCTTCTCTGGTGGCTCAGACGGTAAAGAATCCACCTGCAGTGTGGGAGATGTGGGTTCTATCCCGGGTTGGGAAGATCCCCTGGAGAAGGGAATGGCTATCCACTCCAGTAGTCTTGCCTGGAGAATTCTGGCAAGAGGAGCCTGGCAGGCCCCAGTCTATGGGGTCGGAAAGAGCTGGAGGTGACTGAGCGACTTTCACTCACTCCTGGTGGCCCAGTGGTTGAGACTCTGTGCTTCCATTGCCGGGGGCTAGGTTCAATCCCTGGTCAGGGAACTAAGCTCCTGCATGGCGTCAGTGCATCCAAAATGTAAAAATTAATAGCAAGTTTAAGGAATGTGAAAAGTGTAGTTAAACATGAGGTTTCTAATGGAGCATTAGTGTTGTGTGTGAATCATGGGAACTGCCCCACCCCCCCATACCATCGCCATTTGACTATTTGCTGCATCCCTACCAGACTGGACGTGGTCCCAGGGCGCAGGCCTGGGCCCCCCTGAGCCTTCGGGGTTGGCCTCTCCCAACCGGTACCGAGGGCCTGCCCGGTGGATGCCTCCGCGCTGGGCCCAGGCCCCTGAGCTGGAGCAGGAGCGCCGGCACCGGCAGATTGTGTCCTGGTTCGCTGACCATCCCCGGGCCCCCTTCGGCCTACACCGGCTGGTGGAGCTGGGGCAGGGCTCAGGCAAGAAGGCAGGCGACTGGTATGGGCCATCTTTGGTGGCACACATACTCAGGTGAGGGCCGTGGCAGGGGACGCGGGAGCCTCTGGGTCCCCTCCGGGGAACTCAGGCCTCTCCTCCATCCCCAGGAAAGCTGTGGAGAGCTGCTCAGAGGTCACCCGCCTGGTGGTGTACGTCTCCCAGGACTGCACAGGTAAGGGGCTGAGGGCTGAGGTCATGGGGTTCTCACCCTGCGCCAGTCACTGCCTCAGCCACTTCTTAGCACCCACTTTCCGCAGAGACTGAGACAAGTTATGCAGCAGAGGGACCCTTGGAAAGGACTGGAGGCCCACATTGGGCCGCAGGGGCGCTGCTCAGGATCCCTTCATTCTCTCTGGAATCAGGAGAGGAGACTTCAGGGGCTTCTCTGAGTAATAGAATAAAGGACAGAAGGAATTCCTCTCTCGGGTCCAACTCACTCTTTTTTAAAAAAGAATGATTGTTTATTTTTGGCTGCACTGGGTCGTTGTTGCTGCCGTGGGCTTTTCTCTCCTTGCGGTGAGCAGGGGCTACTCTCTTTGACTCTCTAGTTGTGCATGAGCTTCCCATTGCTCTTGCTTCTCTTGTTGCGGAGCACAGGCTCCAGGCACTCAAGATTCCATAGTTGTGGCACAGGAGCTTAGTTACCCCTCGGTATGTGGAATCTGCCCAGGCCAGGGATCAAACCTGTGTCCCCTGCATTGGCAGGCAGATTCTTAACCACAGAACTGCCAGGGAAGTTCCCAACTCACTTTTGCTTTGTAAACACTGCTAATGCATACAAAAGTCGGGTCTCCTCTGCCTCACGGGGTTTTCAGGAGGATTGAGTCAGTGATGAACATAACTCTTAGGGGCTTCCCTGCTGGCTCAGTGTGCTAAAGAACCCACCTGCCAATGCGGGAGAGATGGGTTTGATCCCTGATCCTGGAAGATCCCACGTGCCACAGAGCACCTACGCCCATGCGCCACAACTACTGAGCCTGTGCTCAAGAGCCATAGCTATTGAGCCTAAGGGTCACAGCTACTGAAGTCCTCACTCTGGAGCCTGTGCTCCACAAGAGAAGCCGCTGGCCGTGAGAAACCGGTGCGCCACAACTAGAGAGTAGCCCCTGCTCTCTGCAGGTAGAGAAAAGCCAGAGCAGCAACAAAGACCCAGCACAACCAAAAATAAATAAGATTTTTAAATTAAAAATAGTAACTTTTAGAACAGAACTTCTCATATGGTAAGTATTCACTGAATGTTACCTCTCTTTGTTATTGAGTTAGTGAAAGTCTCTCAGTTGTGTCTGACTCTTTGTGATGTGACCCCATAGACTATACAGTCCATGGAATTCTCCAGACCAGAATACTGGAGTGGGTAGCCTTTCCCTTCTCCAAGGGATCTTCCCAACCCAGGGATCGAATCCAGGTCTCCTGCATTGCAGGTGGATTCTTTACCAGCTGAGCCACAAGGGAAGCCCAAGAATACTGGACTGGGTAGCCTGTCCCCTCTCCAGCGGATCTTCCCAACCCAGGAATTGAACTGGGGTCTCCTGCATTGCAGGTGGATTCTTTACCAACTGAGCTATCAGGGAAGCGCCCCCTCATTGTTATTATGCCCTCCCAATCAGTTTAGCTTCATGGATTGGTATCAAGGAATCTACAGACCCTATACATTTTATGAAAAAATACAGGCGTTTGGGGCAAGGTGTAATCTTTTGCAGAGAGCCTCTTAGTCTGTTAGGGCTGGTATAATGAAAGTACTGTAGGCCAGGGAATTCCCTGGTGGTCCAGTGGTTAGGACTCGGTGCTTTCACTGCTGGGACCTGATTTTGATCCCTGGTTAGGGAACTCCGATCCCACAAGCTACACAGCATAGCCAACAAAACAAAACAAGCACCCACAGGCTGGGTGGCTTGTAAACAAGGTGTTTATTTTTCGTAATTCTGGAGGCTGGGAAGTCCAGGATCAAGGCACTGGCTGTTTTGGTGTCTGTTGGGGGCCTACTTCCTGGTTTGTTTCACTGTATCTTCAGGCAGCAAAATGGGCAAGCATGCTCTCTGGGGTCGCTTTTACCGGGGCAGTGATGTCACTCATAACCTCATCACCTCCCACTTCCTCATTCCATCACTTGGGGGAGGGGGTTAGAATTTCAACATCTGAAATGGGCGAGGGGGTGCTTCCCAGGTGGTGCTAATGGTAAAGAACCTGCCTGCCAATGCAGGAGATGTTTAAGAGACGCGGGTTTCATCCCTGCGTCAGGAAGATCCCCTGGAGGAGGACATGGCAACCCACTCCAGTATTCTTTCCTGGAGAATCCTGTGAACAGAGGAGCCTGGCAGGTTGCAGTCCATGGGTTCGCACAGAGTTGGACACGACTGAGGCATTCAGACCATTGCAGCTCTTGTCTCCAGGAAAGATTGAATGTCCTTTTCTGGGAGTCATGAGGGGGTTACATAGCCACGAGGAGATGACAGGAAAGCAGAGACCAGCGGATGGAACTTGAGGGACACACAGGGCCTTTCAGCTGACTGACTGGTGCTCCCACTTCCATCTCAGCAAACCCAGGTGCCGAGTAGGGGAAGACTAGTCAGGCCCGGGATTGGGCAGGCACTCTGGGCTGTGGGGAAGGCTCTTCACCTCCCTCCTGGCTTTACACTCTTTGTCATAACCTCAGGCCCTTAGTCGCCCTCTCTGTGAAATGGGAGTGTCCATACCTGCCTGGCGTGCCTGGGACTGTCTGAGGGAGTTTGGGGTGGGGGGTGGCGAATGCTGGAAAGCTTTTCTGCCGGGAACAGGCGTGTCATCCAGGGAGGTTGCTCAGGCGAGGTTGGGCCCCTAAGGATGGAGGTTCATACAGTGAGACTTGAAGGGCGGGCGAGAACGTGACCTGCTGCCCTGTCCTTGCAGTATACAAGGCGGACGTGGCACGCCTGGTGGCCCGGCCAGACCCTACGGCTGAATGGAAGTCCGTGGTCATCCTGGTACCAGTGCGGCTTGGTGGAGAAACTCTCAACCCTGTGTACGTGCCCTGCGTGAAGGTAGGTTCTGCCAGGCTCCCCCGTGCCTCCCCCACCGCCCCCCTCACTGGAGCCCTGCAGACATTTTCAGCTTGGGTTAGGGGTTTATGCTTCCTTTGTCTCTTCATTGGATCATCCAGCAGTTATGAAGCACCTATTATGTGCCAAAAACCCTCTCAGCTGCTGGGGACTCAGAGGTAAACAGGCAACAGTTGATGCTGTCTGGGAGCTGACATTCTAGTGGGGGAGTAACAGGCAGTAGGTGTGGAAGCAAGTTGACAGCTGTGGCATTGCAACTCGTACTGTAAAGGAACCAAAACTAACATGATGAAGGGCAGGTGGGGGTGGCTGGCCAGCCTCGGAAAGCCCCTCTCTAGCCAGAAGCAAATGAGAAGCCAGGGGAGTAGTCATCCAGGCAAAAGGAACAGCAAGGCTGGAAAGACCCCGGTGTGTTTACACTGAGAGCAAAGGCCAGCGATCTCCCCACAGCCCACAAGGCCCTCTACCATCTGCCCACACTCACTCTCCACCTCACTTCACTCTGCTTCAGCCGCACAGGCCTCTTTTCTGCTCTCAGAAGACACCTGCCTCAGGGCCTTTGCACCTGCCATTCCCACCACTTGGAGTGCTCTTTCCCAAGACGAATTCTGAATTCCCTTAACTGTTTGCTGAAACATCATCTCTCAGTGAGGTCTTTCCTGACTCCCCCTGCTTAACACTGCAAAGCCTTCTTCCCTCCTTTTATTCTTCTCCAGAGAGCTACCACCTTCTGACACATGACAGAACTTACTCCTCTTGTTCTTCGTTCTCCCACACTAGAACATAAGCTCCATGGGGACAGCGTTTTGTCTGTCTTGGTCACTGCCACCCCCCAGGGCCCAGCATAGGCTTGGGTTTGCACACATTGGGCCTCTGTCGGTTTTTTTTTTTGAATGATTTTATTTACCTGTTTTTGGCTGTGCTGGGTCTTTGTCACTGAACAGGCTTTCCTCTAGTTGCGGCCAGCCAGGGCTACTCTGTGTTGGGGTGTGCAGGTTTGTTATTGCAATGGCTTCTCGCTGGGGAGCACAGGTTCTAGGGCATGGGCTTCAGCAGTTGCAGCTCCCAGGCTCTAGAGCACAGGCTCAGTAGTTGTGGCGTATGGGCTTAGTTGCTCCGTGGCATGGGGGAGAGGGGGTGTCTTCCCCGAGCAGGGATCAGCCTGTCTCCTGCATTGGCAGGCGGGCTCTTTACCACTGAGCCACCAGGGAAGAAGCCCTGGGGCTTTATGAGGCATCAGGGTGCCTGACGGCACCTGCCCTGGGTCCTCACTCCACCCCCTTTCCTTCCGGCAGGAGCTCCTCCGTTCAGAGCTGTGCCTGGGCATTATGGGGGGCAAGCCCCGCCACTCGCTGTACTTCATCGGCTACCAGGGTAGGCCCACACCACACTGCTCCATCACATCCCCCCACACCCCCTTTCCACCGCCACCCCCTCCCTCACACGTCCTCCCTGCAGATGACTTCCTGCTCTACCTGGACCCACACTACTGCCAGCCCACCGTGGATGTCAGCCAGGCCGACTTCCCCCTGGAGGTGAGTGAGATGGGATCCCCAGGGTGGGGTTGGAGGTGTGTGGAGGGAACCCCCTGAGCCTCCCTCATCTATCCACCCCAGTCCTTCCACTGCACCTCACCCCGCAAGATGGCCTTTGCCAAGATGGACCCGAGCTGTACTGTGGGCTTCTATGCTGGAGACAGAAAGGAGTTTGAAACACTCTGCTCAGAGCTGACCAGGGTGAGCCGGGTGTGCTAGGGGGTGGGGGGCAAGGGCAGGGCTACGGCCGAAGAGAAACAGAGGCCATGAGGCCAGGAGACCTGGCCATGTTGTCAGGATTATTATCCTGCAGGAGCCCTACAGGGTTTTTCAGCTTGGGTTAGGTCTAATTAGAAAGCCCAGCTCTGATGAGAGCAAAAAGCATCATGAAATGAAAAATTTAAGGGGACAGCTGGTCCCCAGAGGCTGAAGTCGTAGGACCTGCCTTGTCCTTTGGTTCTGTTGTTCTCAGGGATTTACCCTTACGGTGGTAAGAAATGAACACCAGCTTCTCTGGGTGTGCACACGTCCTCAGTCATGTCGGACTCTTTGCAATCCCATGGACTGTAGCCTGCCAGGCTCCTCTGTATGGGATTTCCCAGGCAAGAATACTGGAGAGGATTGCAATTTCCTTCTCCAGGGGATCTTCCCAACCCAGGGAACCTGGGATTCTTGAAAGAACCCCATGTTCTTAGCAGAGAAGGAAAATCCCAGGGCTGTGGTTCATTGGTTGCACAAGGGCATATGCTCATTACTGAGCCAATCACTGTAGCCAGAGCACAGAAGGTGCTGATTGGCTGGTCTGCTCACTGCCCTGGAGGGAGGGGAGTTGAGTTCAGGAAGTACCTGATAAATATGGCTGCTAAAATAATTTTATCTACTTGGGTAGTTATCATGGCTTTGGGACTGAGCTGCTCTCTCCTCCCCACAGGTCCTCAGCTCCTCCTCAGCCACAGAGCGATACCCCATGTTCACCCTGGTCGATGGCCACGCTCAGGACCACAGCCTGGATGACCTCTGCTCCCCACCCTCCCAGCAGACACTGCGGCTCCCGCGCAGTGGCCGGCTCCTCAAGGCTAAGCGCCCAAGCTCTGAGGACTTTGTGTTTTTATAAAGGGAGGGGAAAAGGGAGAAGACAAGACCCTATTTATTTTTTAATTTATGTCATGTTAGGTGTGGGAGCTTCAACTCCCCCCTGACAAGTGCAGCTGAGAGAGACCAGTCCAGGAAGCCTCTGGGCTGGGGCCGTTCAGCCAGGAACAGAGCCCGCACACCTGCCTCCCACCAGCTGGGCCCTCCTCATGGGGCAGGGAGGGAGGCCCCGGGCACCCACTCAGGGCCTGACTCCGTACTGTAGTTTGCACTGGACCGTCCATGCCCCTCACCGGTCACAAAGCCCCTACCCTGCCAAGAGCTGCTGGAGGGGAGGAGGGGCCGTGGCTGCTGGGGGCTAATAAAGCCGTTTGACTTGACTGTGGCTATTGTTGGGCCCAACATTTGAGTGTGTCTTGAGGCGAGGTTCCCCGAGTCATCTGGGGAAGCTTGTTGAGTAGGCCTCAGCTTCCACATCTCTAAGATGGGAAGACTCCCTGGCCTACAGGTAGATGTGGGGGGCCATACAGTCAATAAGAAGAGGAAGGGGCCCCTGTAGGCTCCCTCGAGCTCAGTGGCTGCCCTTGGGCCCCTGCTGCTTCCTCCGTCGTCGGCCCAGCTGCCGGAAGTGCAGCCGTTTGGGGTTGAGGCCAAAGGCCTGCAGTCTCTGGCGGCTGAACTCACGTCCCCCGAGTGTCACTGTGGGGCCCAGGAGACGTGCCTTCTTGCCCCGCTTCCGCCTCTGGGGGGCCAGCTTCTCCGTGGGTGTCGCAGGGTCTGCCTCTTCCTGTGCTGGGGTGCTCTCGGGCTGGGACTGCTTGCCACAGGCCCCATCAAGTGCCACCAGCTGTCCCGATGGGCCAGCTCTGTCTCTCTGTGGCTTCCCTGTGGCTTCCGTGGGCATCTCTGCCCTGGAGGAAGAGAAGTCATGGATCAGCCCAGGCCAGTCACGACTAGGTTCCTCCCCGAGCCTGCCCCGTTTTTATAGATGAGAAAAAGGGCAGCTCAGAGAAGTGGCCAGAACAATTTGGGAGCCTGCCTACACTCAAACATGGGTCTGATACCACACTGGGATTTTTCTACTCTGAAGCCGGAGTGAGTGAGTGATGCTTTTGATCACTAAGCCTGTACCTACACTAAGCTCTTCACACAAACTAACTCATTTTAGCTTTATGTCAACTCTGTGAGCACTCCTGATTTACAGATCAGGAAATAACAGGCACAGTAACAGTAACAAGAGCTAATAGCTATCCAGCATTTATTGTTTTAAGCACTTTACCTGAATTGATTTACTTAATCTCCAAAAAAAAAGAAAAACCCAGCAAGAAGTGAGCCATCTGTACCTCCATTTTGCAAATGAGGAAACAGGCCCAGAGAGGGAAAATGACTTGCCCAACGTCATACAGCTATGGCCCAGCCAAGACCTGATGCCCAGGTATTGGAAGGGAAACCCTACCCCCAAGGTTATGTGACAAACAGCTGACAAAGCATGACTCAAACCCTGGGCCTGGCAGGGCTCCGAAGCCCACCCCTCCACCAGCCATACTCACTCCTCTGGGCAGAGTGACTTGAAGATCTGCTGCTTCTTCCATACATTCTGGGCCTTCTGGCTGTATGCCCTCTTGTCCTGCAGTTCCTCCTGCTCTGACCTGCGGGCCCCAAGTGGACACATCTGTCACTGGGTGGCCTGGGTGGGGCTCGTGCTTGCCTGCCAGCCTGCTTGCCCCTCCTCCCGGGGCACCCGGCCCAGCCCCACTCCATCACCTGTACATGCAGGTCTTCTTCAGGGAGCACCACCGATTCAGCTCCTTGTCGTCAGCAGCGAGGATCTGCAAGGGAAGGGAGGGTGGGGTCCTGCTAGTGAGCCCCGGGGGGCCCTGACTCTCAGCCTTAGTCACCTCATGGGTCAAAGCAAGGTAATGCTAGTTCCACCAAGCAGCAGTGTCATGATGGTGAGAAAGAACTGATTTCTGCAGAGGCCAATGGAGGATTTTTTTGTTGAGGGCATCAGATGGGAAAACTGAGGCCCAGAGAAGGGGATCCTTAACCCAGTCACATGGCCAGGAAATGGCTAATGTCAGATTACAATCTGGGCCCTGACTGGTACACTGTGGTCCCAGCAGACTCAAACCAGGGGAGGGGTCTCCATGCCAATGACCAGCTTTGCTAATACTGATGAGACCCAGGTTCCCAACCTTACGACCTTAGTCTCCTCACTTATGAATTGTGTACCCCCCCTCAGAACCTACTGGAAGGTTGTCAGGATGATGAAGCGAATACAAATGGTCTAAGCTCAATCATCATTGGCTATTTTTACAGTCAAGCATCCATAGCCATCACGGCTAGGGCACAATGACATTCAAAGCACATTTGTTTCACATCCACAGTCATAAGGTGGGGCTGTTATAAGGCCCATTTTACAGATGGGGAAACCAAGTTACAGAGCCTTAAGTCACGCGTCCAAGGTTATACAGCTGGTGAGTGGCCCGGTCAAGATTTCAACAGCTGCCAAGTCTTAATGGCCACGCTGCTGCCAATATACACAATTAAAACTGATATTTACTGGGGCTTCCTGTGGGCAGAGCACCATTTAAGCCCCTGCCTCACAGAAAACTTGTGTGGCAGGCAATATTACTAGTATTGTTATTAGCACTGTTGGTTCTATTGTTTTGGACATAAAGAAACAAATAGGCTGTGTCACAACAGGGCCAGTTCTGGGCATCCCCGCTTGCTTCTGGGGTATCCTGGGGTCCCACCTCCTCAGTGCTAAGTCCAAAGTCGCAGGGCACCACCGTGCGGTACTTGAAGCGACAGGGCAGGTCATCAATGATGTCCTCGTAGTCCAGCCGGTAATACTCGTCCAGGTACTCCTCGAATGTCTTGTCCCCTGAGTGGGGACAGAGCCAGGCTGTCGGGGTGTGCGGGGCCCTAGGGAGCCCCTGCCCACCCACAGGCACCCGCCTGGGCCTCACCGGGGTCAAACACAGGTTTCTCCTGTCCCACAGCCGCAGCAAAGGGCGACTTTCGCTTCTTCTTGCCCAACGAAGGGGCCTCTCGATGCTTCTTCCGGGGCTGGCTGGGGTCATAGTCGGCGTCCATCTGCCGGGACACACAGGTCAGGCCTGGCGGGGGACCCTCTGGGGCGCCCCCCCGGTTCCCATGCCCAGGGCACCTACATTGAAGTCGGGGTCCTCGCAGTGAGGCTCCTGTTGGCTCCAAGCTCCACCTTGCTCCGGCCCAGCCCACGTGTCCCAGTTCCAGTCATCTGGTTCAGGCCAGACAGGCAGGGGTGAAGAGGGGATCAGTAGGCCAAGCACCCCACCCCCAGCCCGGTACCCCAAGTGACCTCACCTTCCAGCCCTTCTTCTTCCTCAAACTGCGGCTTCTCCTCCTCCATGGCGCCATAGTACTCGTCCCCGAAGCACTTCTACAGGGTCGGGGCCGGGAGGGTCAGCAGGGCCCATTCCCCGCCAGACACTGGTGCTCCTGCACCTTCTGTGGCTCCCCAGCACCGCCCCCCAGGACCCAGCTCCTGATGTGGGGAGAACCACACATAGGACCTGTGTGTCTATGTCCCTCCACACCCACTTCTTAGCTCATCTTGCCCCATCGACCTCCCGCTCTCTGCCCCCGTTCCACTGGCTAGTAAAGGCAAATATTGCTAACTGTGCCACTTACAAACACCTACTACATGCTCAACACTGGGCTGTGTCTCACTGCATTCTCACAAGCACCCCAAAAGACAGAAACTACTAACAAACACAGAACCTGAAGCTCAGGATTAAGAAGCTCCTAGAAAGTGAAGGTTTACCTTCAATTACACAGCATCTACTCACTCCACTTTTCACCTGCCCATCTACTCATCCTTACTTTCCCTTCCACGAACCCCCAGGCTGAGTCTGGGTCCACTCTGTGGTGCCCCGGGTCCCCACTGCGGCTCCCATCCAGGTCTCATTGCCTGCTTCCATGGTCTGAACCTGTGTTCCCCCCCTCCCAATACAACAATCAACACTAATGGCTCAATAAATGAATTTAAAGAAAATTCAGCGACCCACGTTTCCCTGAGCATTTACCAAGTTAATTAGCATTTAGTATTTCTCACGGGCCTGAGGTAAATGCTGCAGTTTGGACCCACATTACAGACAAGAGACACAGGATTAGAGAGGTCAGGTCACCTCTCTGAGCCAGGAAGGGATTGCTCACTCTAGAGCCACACTCAGCTGCACAGTCAGGCTGGGGCTCTGGGGTCACACCTGCATGAGCTGGTCGTGCTGGGCAGGGTCGAAGTCATCCTCCAGGTCCTGCTCTTCAAAGCCCAGTGTCTCGTTGCCCGTGACCTGCCGCAGCCTCTCCAGCTTGGCCAGAATCTCCTTCCTCTTCAGGTTCTTCAGCTGCTTGAGTTCCTCCCGCTTCCTCGCTTTCTCCTGCAGGCGGCAGGTCAGGGGGAGAGGCCGGGTGTCAGCAACCCTCCTAACCCCTGCAGGTGGACATCCCCCCAAAGGCCGCCCTGAAAACCACTCACCCTCTTCTTCCGCTCCCGTGTCTCCTCCCTCTTCTCCTTCCTGCGCTCGTCCTTTCGGCGCACGGAGGAGGCGATGCTCCGAGGGTAGGTCTTGACCTGTGGGCACCAGAGATGATTCTGGGTTCCTTCCCTGGCCTGGGACCCTCCGGCCAGGTTCTCCCCGGCCCCAGCCCCCGAATCCCAGCCCGGCCACCGGCCCCCAGCCCGGCCACCCACCAAGGCAGAGTCTGGCTCCTCAAAGCGGAAGTTGTACTTGAGCTCAAAGTCCTCCTGCTTCTTCAGAAACAGTTCCCCCTCGTCTGAGGAGTCATCCACAGCTAGCTGGACCGGGGGACCAGGGACCCTGAGGGATGAGATGGGGCGGGGCTAGGGGTGAGCAGAGCTCCTGCAAGCCTGTGTACCAGCGTGTTCATGTGTTTAATCCTCACAAGAACCCTGTGCTAGGGAGCCACTGTTACCCCATTTTACCGATGGGGAAACCAAGGCATGGAAATCCAGGATTAGGGCCCGCTGGCTCCAGAGCCCACACTCTGGGTCTCTTCCTCAAGAAAGGCCAATTCTGGGGACTTCCCTGGTGGTCCAGTGGTTAAGACCTGCGCTTCCAGTACAGGGGGCCCAGGTTCAACCCCTGGTCAGGGAACTAAGATCCTCCATACCGTGTGGTGCAGTAAAAAAAAAAAATAATAAAAAGGCTAACTCGGCTGCTGCTGTTCAGTCACTAAGTTGTGCCTGATTCTTTGCGACCTCACGGTCACAAAGCCAGGCTCCTCCGTCCTCCACTATCTCCTGGAATTTGCTCAAACTCATGTCCATTGAGTTAGTGATGTCATTCAACCATCTCATCCCCTTCTCCTCCTGCCTTCAATCTTTCCCAGCATCAAGGTCTTTTCCAATGAGTCGGCTCTTCAATCAGGTAGCCAAAGTATTGGAGTTTCACCTTTAGCATCAGTCCTTCCAATGAATGTTCAGGGTTAATTTCCTTTAGGATTGATTGGTTTGATCTCCTTGCAGTCCAAGAGACTCTCAAGTCTTCTCCAGCACCCTAGGGGATCTTCCTGACCCAAGGATCGAACCCATGTCCCTGCATTGGCAGGCGGATTCTTTACCACTGAGCCACCAGGGAAGTCCCCAATTCCGTTACCAACCGTGTGATAAAGTAAACACCCAGTGCCTTTTCCTTTCTGGCCAGTGCTGTGTCTAGGCCCCTGGGGGACAGGGGCACTCACCTTTCCTCCTCCTCCTCTTCCTCCTCCTCCTCTTCCTCCTCCCCTTCTTCCTCATAGCGTTTGTTGAGGATGTAATCTCGCAGGAAGCGCTCCCCCTCGTCCAGCTCTGGGTTGTTCCAGAACTCCCTGAGGTGAGTCTAGGGGTGAAGGGTGTGTGATAAGACTCAGGTCAGGGACTCAGGGTCAGTGAAGCAGTAGGGTAGGGGCGTGGATTGTGGGCACCCAGTGGGTGTAAGTGACTGCAGCTTCACAGCCAGTCTATGAAGTAAGTGGGATAATCCCTGTGTTATAGATATAGAAGCTGAGGCCCAGAGATGTGGGGCCCCATCCTCAGAGGATGTGCTCCTGGGGACTCCTCTGGGGGTCCAGTGGTTAAGACTCCACGCTTCCACTGTAGGGGGCATGGATTCAATCCCTGGTTGGGGAACTTAAGATCCCAAAGGCCACACGGTACAAGGGAAAAAAAAGAAAAGGAACAGATTATGTGCTCCTGGCTGGCCACTCAAGGGTCAGTTTCCAGGAAAAGGCTGGATGCAGGCAGACCGGGAAGTTTAGGGAGTCAGTAACCAGGGATGGGAACTCACCAGTTCTTTCAGGGTGTCGGGGTTCTGAATCTCCTTCTGCCCCTTCAGCCACTCAATGTAGTCAGCATCCTCCTGGGCCTGAGGGGTGGCCAGCGATGAGGATCTGCGGGACCCCCCTGGTGCCCCCTCTCCGCCACCACCCCCCATCCCCCTGGGACCCAGCACCCACCTTCTCCTCTTTGCTTTTAGCACGTTTCTGCAGCAACCCAGAGCTACCTTCCTTGGCACTGTCTTCATCCTCACTGTCCTCCACAAATACCCGGAAGCTGCCCAAGCGAGAAAACAAGCCTCAGGATGGGTGCGCTGGCCCTGCCCGCTGCCCCAAAGATAAGCACTATCTACTAATAAGCCCTCAGCTCCTCCTGACCAGCCCAGAGTGGTGCTGTGACATACAGCCCATGATCAACCCCATTTCACAGATACAGAAACTGAGGCCCAGAGACAGCAAATGACAGGCCCAAGGGCACACAAGTGCCCATTAAGTGGGCACATTAAGCGATAGAGCTGGATTTGAACCTGGGCCTGCCAACCTCAGAGCCTCAACTCTCTTCTACTTGGCTGCTCAACCGGCTCCAGGGCTCACCTTTCCTTCAGCTGTTTCTGTTCTTCCACATAACTCTTCGACAAGGTCTGCTGCAGAGAGAGTGACAGGGGCCTCAGACCCAGCCATGGGCCCCTCAGCCCCCCAACCCTCCCACCCAGCCTCCATCCCACACACCTGGAGTCTCTGATCGGAGGTTTCCCCATCTGAATTCTCCTCATCGACATATTTGCTGGGCAAGGAAGGATGAAGGTTTCAGAACAGACTCCCCCCGGCCTGTCTGTCACTGTGGGGTGGGAGGCTCTTAAGAGCAACAGCTGGGGCCTCCCTGGTGGCTCAGTGGTAAAGAATCCGCCTTCCAATGCAGGAGGAGACACAAGTTCGATCCCTGATCCAGGAAGATCCCACATGCCTTGGAGCAACTGAGCCCTTATGCCACAATTACTGAGCACACGCTCTGCGGCCCGGGAGCCACAACTACGGAGCCCACATGTCGAAACTATTGAAGCCCAGATGCCCTAGAGCCTGTGCTCCACAAGAAGAGAAGCCACTGCAATAAGCCCCCACACCACAACTAGAGAGTAGCCCCTGCTTGCGGTAATGAAAGAAAATCCCTCGCAGCAGTGAAGACCCAGCACAGCCAAAGATAAATAAATAAATAAAAATTATTAAAAGAGACAAAAATTCAAAAACAGCAACAGCTGGGGGGTGGGAGCAGTGGGATGCAGGCAGGTCACCAAGCCACCTGCTCTCTGAGGTTCTCCCAACTCTGGTGAGCCATTGGCTTCTTCCCACGCCCGCCCCTAAGTCCCCCACGTGTCCATCTGCCCTGGGAAGGTAGACGCGGAGGAGTCAGGCTGTCTCCTCACCCTCCTTTCTCCAGGATAACCTTCCTCTCATAGTCCTTCAGGTACATGGGCTGCACCTTCTTTCTCCTCTCAGCTGCCGGCTCCTCTTCGCTCTCTGAGGACGATGCTGCAGGGCCACCACAAGACCCCTGTCATCACCCACACCCACAACCCCCTTCCTCCCCCAGGCAGAGAGTAACTGTGCTGGGCCAGAGTCAGATGGAGGTTTCAAATCCCCGAGCCACCAGTTCCCATCTATCAAACAGGCATCACACTTGCTACTACCTGGTAATAGCTGGTGGTGATCACTCAGTGAGTAATTCACATTCAAAACAGTGCCAGACACACAGCCATGATTAGTGACAACAGGTCATAACCCTGGACACTCTTAGCTGATTAGTAATCAGTTTTTTTTGTTTTTTTTTTTGGCTGTGCTGCGTGGCACGTGGAATCTTAGTTGCCCCACCAGGGATGAACGTGCAGAGTCTTAACCTCTGGACGACTAAGGAAGTCCCTCTGCTAATCAAGTCTGACTTGTAGGTGAAATAAAAATGAAAGTGCTGGTCGCTCAGTTGTGTCTGACTCCTTGCACCCTATGGACTGTAGCTTGCCAGACTCCTCTGTCCATGGGATTTCCCAGGCAAGAATACTGGAATGGGTAGCCATTCCCTTCTCCAGGGGATTTTCCTGACCCAAGGACTGAACCCAGGTCTTCTGCATTGCAGGCAGACCCTTTACTGTCTGAGCGACCACGGAAAGATCCATTAAATAGCCACAACAGCTTCTAAGGCAATGAGGACCCAGGGTTTCATGAGAAGCAGCCCCAGACCTGTTCGCTGATAGAAGGTGGCATCTTTCTGATAAATGCAGGGGTCCTTCTTCTTCAACAAGGAGAGAGTTCTGTAGAAGTCACGCTCTTGCTGGGGGTCAAATTCCTAGAGCAGAAAAAGGGGGTGGGGACAGACTTGAGAAGGGGGCTGTGATGGGGGCAGTAAGCAACAGGGGCAGGAAGGCTGAGAAGGTGTGGGAATTAGGGTTCAGGGAGGCGTACAGGTTAGAAGAAGGGAGAATCCAGCTGGGTAAAGGCAGGTGGGGGGAGGGCTGGAGGGCTGGATATGAGTGGGAGGGGGGTCAAATGGGTGGGAGAGGGGACCCCTTGGGGGTGGACCACACATGAGCAGAGAATAGGAAGCAAAAAAAGGTAGCAGGCAAGGGGGTGGTGGTACTTCCCGGTATCAATAAGGGATGGATGATACAGGGGCAGGTGAGCAGAGAAGGCATATGAAGAACAGAGTGGGAAAGCTGGATGGCTCAGTGAGTCTAGGAAGATCAGGGCTGGTGTGGGGAAAAGCTGGGTGCTCCACGTGGCAGAGGGATGCCCCATTTTGGGGACAGAGGCAGACAGGGAGAAATGATTAGACTGTCAGGGATGAAGGCGCGATGGGGTTGGACGTTAGCTGCCCCCTGTAAGTCCAGGCCAGGATGCGACAAGGCCCTTGGACACCTCCCGCAACTCCGGGACGGAGGCGGAGAAGCTCACCACGTGCTCGTCGCTGGAATCAGACTCGGAGCTGGAGTCGCTGCCGCAGTGCTGGTCCCCGTAGCGATCTTTCACTGTGGGACAAAGATGCGAGCCCCCCACCCAGGTGAGCCTGGGGGACCAGATCAAGTCCCACCTGCGGACCGCCCAACACGCGCCGGCGCCCCACGCGCATGCGCCCCGCACTCACGCCGCTGCAGCTCCTCTCGCTCACGGTAGCGGCCGTACCGCGCCGCGAACGCCGCGTTCACCCGCAGGGGCGACGACCCGCGAGGCTCCGGCATGGCTGCTCTCCCACCCACTGCGCACGCGTCAGGAAAGCACCGCCTCCTCGCAGGCGGGGCTACGCACAGTTGCCTTTAAATAGGGGCGGAGCTTCCTGGGTCGTAAAGAACCCTGCCCTGGGCTCTTCCGGGATTACTTTCCCTAGGACTACAGTCCCCGCCCACGAGCCACGCCTCTGCGGGCCAGGCTGCAGCCACCGCCCATCCCACTCCCCCACCCTCCGGGCTCCCGGCACCCAGCTGACATCTGGGGGCCCTTTCTCCACTCGCGGTTTCCTGCCTCCCTTCCGTTCCGACAGCGTAAACCGCTGCCCCACCCAGCTCACTCACCCCTGGCGCCCTGGGAATTACCACTCTCTCCCCTCCTCCAAAGCATCCACGATCCGCGACCCCCAGGGCCCATCCCCATAAACATCCTGGACACGCGACTCTCCATCGCGGCCTCAAAAATGACAAGCCACCCGCGCTGTGGTCATGCACAAGTCTTAATTTAATGGGTAAAAACATTAAATTACACACACAACAATATTTTCCATAAAGCTTAATAAATAGACTTTTTTAAAGGCTGTACAAGGGACTGGAAATGAAGCTTTCAACAAAATATGAATGAACTCATACTACCCTTTTATCGATTTGGAACACTCCCCCCTCCCCCATGCCGGAAAGCAGTGTGCACACTTGAGGTCTCTCTCTGTAAGCCGGACAAGGTCGACAGGTTCCAAGAGCCTTGGAAGAGATGACCTCACTCGAGGGTTGGGGTTTTAAACGCTCTGCCCTTGGGACTCTAGGCGTGTAGGAGACTGAACCGTTTAGGTGGCTGTTGCCTGTAGGAGCCCTTCTCTGCCCAACACACCGAAAGGGGTGAGAAAAAAAAAACGAGAAATGCACGTCAAACACACACACCCCAGAAATCAACACCAACAAGCCACAAACCGGTGCCCCTCGGCAGCGGGCAGGAGGAGCAAAGGGAGAAAGTGTTTCTTCCCTCTTCTGACACAGAACTCAGCTGGGTCCTGCTGCCGGAGTGGGTGGCCCCAGGTCACAGGGGTGCCACCGTGTGCCGCTGCAGTATGTCCATGAGCTCTTGGGCCCCTCGCCCCCGTGCCAGCTCTAGGGGTGTGAGCCCCCTGGCGTCCCTGTGATGGAGATCAGACTCGGCAGCCAGGAAGCTGACCACAGGGGTGTGGCCCTCGCTCACAGCCAGGTGGATGGGGAGCGCCCCGGTGCCATCGGGTGCGTTGACATCGGCGCCGTGCTCCACCAGAACTTTTAGGGTGTCGAGGAATCCAGTGCGGGCTGCATCGTGGGCCGGAGTGGTGCCCGACGCGTCCTGGACATTGGGGCTGGCGCCTTGCTTCAGGAGTTCCAGGGCAATGGTGGGACTGCCGAACATCATGACCTGGTGGGGGTGTGGGGGTAGAGAAGGGTCAGGGAGTCTCCAAAGGAGGAAGTCCGGGAAACGGGTGACTGGAGAGAGAGGACATTCAGGAGTTGGCAATGCCAGATATACGGTTCTCAAGAGAAGGGGAAACTCCGAGGAGCATGAACTTCCAGGCAGCTGTTGAGACCCCAGAGAACAAGATCTCCTGGGAATTAGGACCTTCCAAAAAAGTGGTCACCCCCCGCTTGGCTATAGTCCCCATGGAAGATTTCAAGGAACCTAAGACCCTCCCCCAAGGAACCAGAGACACTTCTCCCCACAGATGGGAAATCATCAGGAAATATGAACCCCACCAGGAAACAGACCTCAGAGAACAGTCCCCTCCAGGAAATGGAGATGGCCAGGGAATTTAAAACCCCTTCTCCAAGGAATTTCCCCCTCCCCATATAGTGGGGATCCTCTCTGATGAAATGGGGTTCCCCTTTTGTAAATGTCCCCAAGGGAACAGGGACTCCCACGTAATCTGTGACTATTCCCTTATTGGTATCCCCCCCCAATATGCCAATATGAAAACCCCGCAGGAATAGAGATTCTCCCCCACAAGAAACTGGATACCTCTCAGAGAACCCCCAGAAAATGGGTACATCTTGGAAATACGAATTCTTCCTTCCTGAGGTCGAATCGTCCATAGATGCTCCAAGACATTGGAGCCGCCCTCATGAAACTCGGATCCAAAGAAGCTGAACTCTCACTCAGGGAATAAGAACTTCTCCAGGGAAACTGAATCCATCGCAATCAGAGAACAAGGAATCCTCCAAAGATGGAAAGCTCTCCCCTCCCCCAACCTAACCCCATCCACCACCCACCTAAGAAAGGGGACATCAGGGAGCCAAGTCAGCCCAGAGATGCAAGAACAGACCTCAGTCGGCTACCGACGGGAACAAGAGAGAAGAGGGAAGGGGTCTGCGGGCCGGCCCAGGCTCACCTGCAGCGCCGTCTTGCCAAAGCGATTCAGAACGTCTGGGTGCACCAGCTCGCGGTGCAGAAGGCGGCGCACCTCCTGCACGTCTCCTCGGGCCGCCGCCCCGCTCAGCCGGTCGCCGGCGTGGACCTCTTCCAGAAGCATGTCGACCCTGGCGGCCTGTGAAGCCCCCCGCCCCACCCCGCGGCTGTCAGTGCGGGGGAGCCCACGGCGCTGGCCCGAACGGCCCTCCCGCAGCGTCCCCGGCCTGCAACCAGGCTACGGGTCGGACTCTCCTGTCCGGGTCTCGGGCGCGACCCCCGCCCTCCCGGCCGGCTCCTCCCCCTGTCACCCGGTGGGTAGAGAAGGACTAAGAGCCCGGGCCCAACCCTCCGCTAGCCCGCAGGGCCCTGCCCGGCCCCCGCCCCTTGGGGGCCGGGTCTCCCCCCAACTCACCCTCCCTCCTCCTCGACGGGCGGGGTCTGTTCTGAGCCAGCGTCTCCGTCGCTTTGGAGCAAGCCGCTAGGGGGCGGAGCCAGAGCTCTCGCGGTCCCGCCCCCAAACGCCGCGGATTTGTTTTCTTATGAACTTGCTACGTTGTAGCCCAGCCGCGTTGCCCGGCTCCCGACCCTGTAGTGCTCCGCCCTCCTGGCCAGCGAAGCCAATGGCCACGCGTTGCCAGGGAGGCTTTGAGTGCCGGCGTGGGCGGGCCCGCTCCTGATTGGACGAACTGCGGCGACCGGTGGACCGCGGACAATGGCGGGGTTTTCGGTTTTTCAAAAGCGACCGGCGGGCGGGAAAGAGGGCCCGTTTAACTGACCCAGGGGAGAAAGGTCAGGAGCAGGGTAGCGCGGGCTGCTCCGGGACCTCGGCACCTCCGAGGGAAAGGGAGGCAGGGCTGGGACCGCCCAGCTTGGAGTTATGCGGTGCGATATTTGTTAGTTCTTACTGTGCTTAGCGCTTTATTTCATTCATTCACTGTGTGCCGAAGCCGTTCCTGGCGCTGGGGGGCCTGCATTCGAGCTACTAAGTAATTTTAGTGTTAAGCACCGTGAGGAAAATAAAGCATAGATAGGGGGTGAGTGAGAAAGGAATCACGTTTGGCTCAGATTGCACCAGCTCTGGCACAGCAAATGCAAGGGCGTGGAAGAAAGTTCATTCTCCAGCTGCCACGTGGGTGAGCCTGAGAGGCGAGAGTCGCGTCGGAGGCCCTTAACAGAGGCCTTCAACAGCGGGGCCTTCACACATTTACTGACCCCCTACTGTGTACTAGGCACCCCAGTGGAGAGCAAGCCGGGTGCCTCCTGGCTGCTGGATGCTTACCTTTTAGAGCTGGAGACGACAATAAATATTTTCAGAGTGGTAAACACTGTGGAGCTGACAAAACGAGATAAATAATAGTGTCTTGGGAAAAGAAGGCTTTGAAATAGAGTGGTCGGGGATGGCCCCCCTGAGATGGTGACATTTGATTTGAGAACTGAAGGTGAGGGAAGGAGCCATGTGGCTCTCGGGAGAAACAGATGGAGGTGCTACAGATTCAAAGGCCGAGGTGGAAACAAGTCTAGTAAGTCCAGGAAGAGTGAGGTATAGAGGGAGAGAAGGGGGAGGAGGTGAGGGCTGAACAGGCTTGTGGGCTGCGGTGAGCACTTTTACTTTTGAAAAAGAATGGGGAATTTCCCTGGCGGTCCAGTGGTTAAGACTCCGCGCATCCGCTGCAGGGGGGGTCCAGGTTCAATCCCTGGTCGGGAACTATAGTCCCGCGTGCTGCCCAGAACGACAAAAATCAGAGCGGAAAACCCTGGGAAGCTTCCGTATTGAGGAGCCACGATCTGGTTTAGCAGTTATAGGCGCCCTCTGGTGGCTGTGATGGGAACTGGCTGTCATGAGAAGGGGAACGTGACTGTCATGGGAGAGGGAAGCCCAGAGCCTGGGAGACCAAGGTGGAGGCAATCGCGAGGGCTCAGATGAGAGATGACCAGGGCTGAGAATTGGATATATGTTGCCCACTCTTATCCCAGCACTCAAGGGACACCCATGGCATCCCCATCCCCCAGCCAAGAAGTACATAACAGCAGCTAGATTCATCTTTTTAATGTCATCCTAAAACTCAGAAATGGGCCAGCGGAGCCTCTGGGCTCAGCAGCTGTGGAGGAGGGACTCCCCATACCTCCTAAGGCAGGTCACTGCAAGAAGGCACTCATGAGGGGGACTTCAAGCCCCTCTTCTGTTTCTTCATATAAAATTGGAGGAAGGGGAGGGGTGAGAGTCTGAGAGCTGGAGACTATCACTCCCAGCCTACCAGTAAGGGAGAAAGGAAGGAGCAAGTCAGGTGCTGGGAGTAACAAACCAGTAATTCAAGGGCTGCACACACACACACACACACACACATACCCATCTTCCCACACACACACACAAACACACACACACACACCCATCTTCACACACACACACACACACACCCATCTTCCCTCCTTCTCTAGTGGAGTCTGCAGTTGGGGCCTGGGGAGAAGACAGCCCAGGTTCAAGCCCTCACTTCTCCCTTCTAGCTGGTACGAAGTTGATAATCTGCAGGGAAACAATGAGCAGGGACCATCTCAGAATTGGGGGAAGGAGACAGAAGGACAGCACCCCACCCACAACCCATCCCCTTCCCCAGTGCTCATGATCAACC